TAAAACGGTGGAAGGTCTGTGTTGTTCTGTGACAGCATGGATGGAGGAGGTCAATAGTGGCTATGTCTTATACTCCCAATAGATTTGACTGTACATTGGTTTACATGTGTTTTCTCTAATATTTACAGTATTTTATTCCTTTTGTCTGTTTTTACAGTATTTCAGTTTTCAGCCACAGTTTGAAAATTGTCATGAATTCAACATAAATGTAATCAAAACATTTCTTTTTCTGGATTCAATTCTTTGCAAAAAGGCAAATTTGACAGCCCAAATAGAAAGACAACAAACGGCATTGGCAATAGGCTACAATGACAAGCAATGGTGGTGCACTGAGTTCTGTATTTTGTATTTTGTTGTAAATTGTGTAATGATTAATTGAAAGAGCTCATATACTTGTTTGCAAGTTGTGTTGTTTGAAGGTAAAACTAGCTTTTGTTGCATATTTTAAATGTTTTGACACAGTATGTGCCTTTTGCAAGCAAAATGTGTCATTTTGACCATGAGTGCCGCTGTTTAGGCCTGTGTATTAACTGTTTTGAAAATGTGGAGTTTCAGTTGACAACTACATCCAAGCAATCGAGAAAAACTGTAACTCATCACATGAGTAAACACTTGTCTCACTGAATTTCAATTTAGAAATCAGAGCTCATCTGGATGATAACTGGTTCACTGCCCACCCACAATTTTTAGTGGTTTATCTCCCTTTATATTCTCCATTCCTCAAACCTATTGAGGAATTGTTTTTCTGCCTGGAGATGGAAAGTGTATGACCGAAATCCACACACACGTATACCCCTATAGCAGTTGATGCTTTTTGTGGCTGAATTCGCCATGCAAGGTGACATTTCCCCCGCTGCTTGGCCAGACCAAACAGAAAAGAGGATGCAGTATAGCTGCCTTTTTTTTTTTTTTTACTGTAACTGTATTGTTATTGTATTGTGTTGGTTGGGATGAACACTGTGTACACAGTTTTTGTGGGGAAAATACAGTAAAATGTATTTGGTATTTGTGTGTTTTGTATAAAACAATATTCTGAAATATTTTACAGTGCACTTCTGTAGGCCTATATACTGTCTGTCTGTAGTAAGTGTAACACTGAACAAAAAAGCCTGACAGTAAGTCATTATGATGAATATTCATAGTGTTTTACATTAAGCACATCAGTGTTCAACTGTTCTTATAATTGTCTATTGATGTGAAGGCTTGTGTGTGTCATTTGAAAACAAAATACCATTTTGAGAAGAAATCACATCGTTTTGAATGTAGAGTTTCATTTTGCAGAAGAATTGAAGAGTTTTGCCCAATGTGTGCGTGTTTTGTGATTTGTGTGTAGAGTTCTGACAATATGAGACCTGCTTACAGAAAATCTGTATAAACAATTGGAAAAAAACTGTAATCGAGGTCTTGACTCTCTGTGGTTTGTTAAAAATCCCAGGATGTCCTTCGAATAAGAGTAGGGGTTTAACCCCGACATCCTGGCCAAATTTGCCCACTGGCCTCAGTCAATCATGGCCCATATCATAATTGGCTGCATCACCCTGCCTCCTCTCCACCAATCAGCTGGTGTGTGGTTTACGGTCTGGTGCAATATGGCTGCCGTTGCATCATCCAGGTGGATGCTGCACACTGGTGGTGGATGAGGAGATTCCCCCCAAAAAAGTGTAAAGCACATTGAGTGTCTAGAAAATATATATGCTTAAATTTAAATATTAATAATGATTATTATTATTATTATTATTAATAAGGAAAACACTTTTTAGCAAATGGCTGCAATATAACAAAGAGTGAAAATGTTTATGGCGCCTGAATGCTTTCCGTTCCCACTCTATCATTTCAAGCTACTAAAAATGACAATAAGTGTAACTTTTTAATCGTCGTTCAAGATCCTGTAACTCAATTTGAAAGCATAAATAAATTGAAAGCACCTCACAAAATAAATTCCTTAGACCAAAAGCTGTCCACACCAATGCCTGATTTAAAAAAATAAATATAAAAAGCCCATTAGATAAAACAGATCAAATAAGTGAGCCTTTCCCCATCTTCTTCCAGCATTCGGAATATAAAGAGCTTCCTGTGCTGCTTTACTATCTTATGTAACTTGGGTTCGGCTGGATATTTGTGCAAGTGATTTGAAATCCTGTGGAACTTTGGAAAGGATGTGAAAGATATCTTCTTTTCTCTCTCATGTTCGACTTTTTCTCCACACAGGGGAAATCCTAAATCCAGCAGCCCTTTCTTAAAGGCCAGCAAAAACGGACATATGGCATACAGACGGCTTCAAGAGATTTTTCCGTAATTTCCTCCTTCTCATGTGGCGATTGAATGCTTTTGAAGGTTATGGTGTTTCTTTGTGTGCAGTGTGTAAACATTTTGTGCATTTTTTGGGGCATGAACATTTCATTTTTACTGCACTATGAATGTGCATGTGACTCAGTGGAGTAACTCTGTCAAATGTGACTGGCACCCGCTCTGTCAGATGCCCACAAGTTACTGCAAATACCTTGTTGTGCTTGGCTTTGTACTGTAATTGACTGGAAATGACTCTGGCCAAAACCATGGACACAGAATGACTTATAAAAAAAAGACTTGGCAGAGCTTATGAAGTTTTTCAAGAGCCTGTAGGTCATATTTCTTATGTTGAATCTTGCGTAGGAAAAGTAAGTCCATTTTGGTTTGCTTCTTATTTTTGCATTTTTGACCACAAAAATTCCTGATACATTCATTTTCTTTTCAGCGTGTTCCCAAAACTGGGAAACATCCATACACGCTCATTGACACTCATACATACTGCCAATTTAGTTAATTCAATTCACCTATAGCGCATGTCTTTGGACTCATGGGGGAAATCAGAGCACCCGGAAGATACCCACACCAACATGGGGAGAACATGAAAACTCAATGCCAACTGACCCAGCTGGGAATCGAAACAGCGACCTTCTTGGAGTGACCAAGTAGTGACTGCGCCACTGTGCTGCCATTCTAGATACAATTTTTGTAATTAGCAAAGACTTCTGGCCCAGATTTGGCATAAAGCTGGCACAGCAGGCATTTGTCAAGCACTGGCATACAGTATGTGGGCCAAACATGTCCCAGGTTTGGCAGAGGTGGCACCATCTTGAATGCAGCACACAAGACTTGGGTCAGATTTTAAATGTAGTATTTGGCCCAAATGTTAAAAATTTATTTGTGGGCCAAGTTTGGCCTATCTTGACCCTCTTTTAAAATACAATGAATTTTTTTGAGTAAAGTAAAAATTCCACCAATCAGGTTGCTTAGAAAAGGTGTAGCCATAAAGCAAAATGCTTCACGGGTTTATCAAATTCACTCGAGTCATGAAACACCAACATATCTGACCCAGTTGGGTTATTAACCTGGCTAAGACTTGGAGAGGGTGCTCGCTGCAGAGCCATTTGAGCAGAGCTGAGCTCCAGCGAGGGGGAGCATGAGCTCTCGTTCTGCCTCCTGTAAGCTGTTTTAATGCGTACACCAACCCCACCCCTAACCCTACCCCCAGTGACATCACTCGAAGAAGAAGTGCAAAAAAGGTGGAGCTCGAGCTCAAGCTCAAGCTCCCCCTCGCTGGAGCTCAGCTCGCCCAAATGGCTCTGCAGCGAGCACCACTTGAAGACTTGGCCCACATATGGTCCATGTTTGGCCCTGTAAAGAAGTCAGACTTGGTCTATTTACTGTATGTACCATAATTTACTGTGGCATGTGGGCCAAGCAAAAGCTGATTATGTGGGCCAGATCTAGGCCGGAAATATTTTGTGCACAAACAGGTTATTGTCATCTAAACTGTTTTAATTTTTTATTGTAATCAAAATTTGCAATAAATAGCATTTACTTTTCTTTTTACTTTTCTTTTCAGCTTAGTCCCTTTACTAATCTGCGGTCGCCACATTGGAATGAACCGCCAAGTTATCCAGCATGTGTTTTATGCAGTGGATGGCCTTCCAGCTGCAACCAAGCACTAGGAAACACTTATAGACTCTCATTCACACTCATACACTACAGCCAATTTAGTTTTTTCAATTCACCTACAGCGCATTTATTTCAAACCCACGTGAACACTGGGAGAACATGCAAACTCCACACAGAAATATCAACTGACCCAGCAGAGGCTTGAACCAGCGACTTTCTTGCTGTGAGGAGACAGCGCTACCCACTGCACCACCCATACTTGCCAACACTTTTTCCCAGAAGTCTCCCGTATTTCAGACCCATCTCTCATGTTGTTCTGTCTCGTGGAAACCTCCCCAAATCCCCCCACCACCACCGCGCCACCTGACTTGGTCCTGTCATGTACTGTAATTCACTGCAGCATGCTGGGGGGTGGGGTGATTACCAGAATGGGGAAGTCCCAGAGTAAAATAAGAAAATATGATACAACGGTGTCTTGAAATATGGAATATTTGTCTTTACGCTGTTTTCATCTTTTTTTTATGTTATTTTTTTATACATGCATCTCTTTTATTCCTTTTTTATGTAACTTTGAATTGCCCCTGGGTATGACATGTTCTATATAAATTAACTTGCCTTGCCTTTTGTACATTTTAGGTATTAATATGTGCCCTTGAGGTATTAATAAGGACCCTTTAGCTACAAATGTATACCTTTAGAAAAAGGTACCACCTCAGTAACAGCTCTCGTACTAATGTTTCTAAGAGTGTATCTAATTTATATAGCTAAAAGGGTTTAGTGATACATCTATAAGGACTAGTCTGTTTTACATCTGACAGTGTTTCCTCTGTATTCTCCGGAAAACTACAAATAGAACTCAAAAAAAAACATTTAGATCCTTTGAATCAGAACTATGGTCATTGTGCCGGCAGATGCTTCATCCATGTGCCTTTCATTAGCGCACTTTAGAGAAGAAAGCCCATATGAGAGATCACGATTACTTTAACACGTAGCCTTTTTTTTTTTTTTTTTTGAAGGAAAACACTAAATATAATTCAATAAGATGTATCACTCCAATTTTGGTGAACATGCGTGGGTGATACACACACTACACCCTTCTTAGGATTCATCAGAGCGTCAGTGTGGAAGCACAGCGCCGCCACGCGGACAGAAGCGGGGACGCGCGCGGTGCAGCGGCGCGCATGAAGGAGGATCCAGACTTCTGTTCAAGCTGGGAGAAGCGCAGAGGAAACCTCTCCTGCAGCTTGGCTTCTCACTCACTCCCTCATTTTGGACTTTATTCTGATTTCTGCTTCTACCTGGTTCGGAATGTATGCTTGGTAGTCCTCAACATAAGTCATCAGTCGAGAAGTTCTTTAGATTCTCTGGTCTTGGGTGGGTAAGTCGAAACTAAGTTTATATAACTTTGGCAAATGCATTGCTGACTCTGAAGAGTGCAGGTTTGGAAAAGCACGAGCACTTAAGGCAGCCTATTATATTGTTCAGTTACAGTAGCTAGTATTTTATCATCTGCTTCTAATATTTGCTGATTTAGCGGAGAGATAGAGAAAAAAAGTGGGATTTGCATGCACTTCATCAATATTATTTCGTCCTATTGATCACATATACAATTTAATCAAATAATAAAGCCTTGATCGCATTATTGTTAGACGCAAGTTGACTTTATTAAGTATTTATTGTATATGTTTGCATATATTTAATATTGTTTAATGGACATGAAAACAGACTAACAGGCAATGAAACCTAAATAAATGTAATAACATGTAAACAATGAATTTAATTAATCCATTAATTAATTAATGTACATTATATGCTACGTTTGCAATATATCAATGCAATTATTTGCACTTCTTGGTAAGTTGTTGCATCACGTGATATTTGGATGTAAGCAGGAATAAGGTTTTTGTGCTTAAGTCAATATTTATGTTTTGTCACCTTTTTATGGCATATATAGAGTATCAGATTGACTCATTTAATTAAATGTGAGGCCTAGCTGAGTTAATTGTTTCAAATACAAACTGTCATAATAACTTTTGTTGAAAATGTCTCTAGCAGCAGCCATTCTGAATCTGCTTTGACAGCTTAGTAGTAATAGTTAGTCTGAATTAGCCTATGAGAGGTCCAGAGAAAGTATGACCTCATGTTATTTTTAAGCAAATAGCCAGTTTGTTAGAGACAAAATTGACTTATATCAAGGGTATAGGGAGCCTCAGAAAGTCACTTTAGTCTTTTATTAGACATTTGATTGAATAATTGTTGAAATGCATTATTTCCAGTTGTTGATGTTTGTATGAAAATCCATCTTAGTGAACTAGAAAATTAGTTTTTAATCTCTGTGCAGGAATCCCAAATGCATTGATTGGTCCATTTTTAACAGTGGAGTAAAAAGTAGAACCTTCATCAAGACAATATTCACACTTTATTAACCATTCCATTGAAAACAAACTATGAATAATGCAAATGACCAAGATAATTAGTATGGAGACTTGTTTTGCTTTGCAATTATACACAACTTCCTGCTTTTTAAGCCACACCCTGTTTTAAGTTAGATTGAATTAGTGCACGCCTACTTTTTTGTTTCCATGGTTCTGGAATTGTTTGTCATAGTGATTTTTAACTCTTATAAACCACTAGCAGAACCAACCAGCTATGAGGTGAATCACAACACCACAAACTTTGACGCGAATAAAAAACTTGTTTAAAGTCAGAGCCTGTGAGGTGAGACTTTATTAGTTATGTTGTAAAATAATATATTGAAGTCTTTTCTTTTTTGGTAATGTCAAACACAACTCCTACTGGTGCCATAATAATGCCATTGGAAAATCCCTTTAAAAAGTTCATGATAAAAATGTAAAATGCTGATGCTCCTCAGGATTTTAGGACTGCAAATTGAACAGCTTTATTTCTATTCTGAACTTCCGAATCACAAGAACTTATTCAATCGAAAGCAGGTGGATCTTTGAAAAATACATAAAAATTCTTGATTTGAAGAAAAAAATATATGTGAAAAAAGACAAAAGCACAAGACCGTATACTAAACAACTTTAATTACAAAAAGAATTACAACCCCATTTAACATTGCAAATGACAAACTGGTAACTATTTTTGTAAATTACAAAGTATTTAACTGTAATATGAACTAGGGTTGGGTCGATAGACGATGCCATCGTTAAGCGCCGATGACATCACGATGCTGAGACATCACGATGCTGAGCCAGGATAGTGATCCTCCACCCCGCCCTCTAAAAGCAGCAACCTGCTCGCAAAAAAATACACACTTAGGCCCCGTTTACACTTATTTGTCTTAGTTTTAAAATGCCATTTTAAAACGAAAACGATCCATGTACACACTGGCATTTCACCTAGCATTACTGAAAAGATCTTTCCGTCCACACTATACCACTGAAAACGCACATCACATGACCACACACACACACAAACTCTGTCATAAGCTCCAGCAGTCTGCCCAGAAAGCATTGCACATCAGACAGTTTATGAAGGATGTACCGCTGGATTGCATCCACTATAGTTGTTAAATTTGATATTTAATTAATCTTGTCTCTATCTAACAACTCTTCGGTCTTTTAAATCTATCAGGTAATGTGTCACAGCGTCAGTACACTGCTTCAGTCTTTCGCTTTCACGCTCGTACTTAGTAATTTTAGTGTTAACCTCAGACACTGTTGGTTGTGCATTTTTTTTTTTTTACCAAACCATAGGGAAGCCTATTCATGCCAGAGTACTGTGGAAAAAAGGATTGACAGGTAGTAATTTGTGTGTAACTTTATTTATTTATGATTTGGTTATAGGTAAAACAAAGACCATGCAGGTCAGGAAGTTGAAATTGTAGGCTACAAGTAATTAATTCGTTATGAATGAATTAATCATTCATAAATAATAAATTCACCGCTGCCTATGACGACAATGCTATCGTCCATTGCGATGTTTCACAATAGACATCTTACGATGCCAAATTGGTCGACATCGCCCAATACTAATATGAATTGTATTTTACTGTAGGGTAGTCATAGACAATACTGTAAATACGTAAACAGGAAGCTAAATGGTGCTGAAAATGTGAATATCGTATTTTTGCTGTAATTATTTACAGTAAGGTACTGGTTAACTGCTGCCAGTTAATTACTGTAGATTCTACAGGTAATGATTAACAGTGCAGGTAAAAAATATTCATTAAACAAAATTTTATATTTATATACAAAACTAAAATAAGTCCAAGGTACTCGAAAAATGTGGAAAAATATTAAATAGTCTTTATTGACCTGGCTAACCCTTTAAAATTTTGAGGAATAGCCATGTCAATAAAGCATTTTGAATATTTTTTCAACCTACTGTCAGTGTTTAATTTGGCAAATCCCTTACCCAAGAAGCACCAACACAATATTTAAGCTACCGTTAATTATCTATATATTTAAATATTTTGGGAGCACAGAGAGATCAACTAAATTATTAGATCTACTCATTTGCAGTTATTCATGGGAGTGGGTGGAGCTAAAGTTTTTTTAGCACACTTTGCTCGCAACGACTTTCTGATTGGTGGGATTTTCTGTATGGAATCATGGGAAATGTAGTTTTCTGCACAATTTCTGCAATTAAACATGGTTGTTTTAAAGTCAGTTAAATGTGAACTAATTGGTTTAAAATGTCGTCTACAATTGATTAACCTCAGAGCTCCATATGGAGAAGATTAATGGAGTTTTTTCATCTGTTATCTATGCTTGAAGAATATCTCTTGAATATTTCCATTATCATTTCAACTTCCTATGGGTGTGGCCACTTCAATTCAGTTTCCACCTACTGCTTGACTCTGTTTGAGCATTTTCAATGGAAAATTCAAGAAGCACTGTTCATTTTCCAATAAAAAAATGCAACTGAATTCATATTTTATGCAGGAGATAGAGTCTATCATCCTGCATTTACCGTATTTACCATAGTGGTACTGATTGTTAGGTCCTAATTTCATAATTGTGCACTTTAAAGCATTAAAGCATTTCACATTCACCAGATCCAAGTCCCTATGTTTTGTAAATGAGCATGCTAGGAGCTAAGAGATGTCTACAGACAGATTTATGAGCATGTTGTGCTGTGATCATGGTCAACATGTTCTGTTTGCTTGTCTTGTTCAGGAAGGAGAGTGAGGATGATGAGCTTGTCGATCCTCCTCCTGTTGTTTGTGGGTGTTCATGCACAGGGCCAGACTCCAGCCGGCTCTTCGTGTAGTCCTATAAGTGAGTAAATAATGCTTGATTTGGTGAAAGATTATTCTGTTTATTTCTGTGAATGCATGATTTTATTATTTATTTGATTAATTAAATTGTTCAGAAGTGGCTGTAAAGACAAATATTTCAGATTTTTATTTTTTTTTTGTCGTAATCTAAATAAGACAGTAATATGATTAAGGTGTTTACATGAGTTGATTTTTGAATGTTCCTTTGATAATCCCGTTTTACATATTATAGCACATAGATCGATTAATGTCATTGCGTCATCTCGCTATCCACAATTCCTCTGGAGTGTCATGTAATTTCAGGTGTTTCATTTTTAATTTGTCGACTTTAATTGCAGTTAGGCACTTTCACTTTCATTTAAGAACATGCATGCCCCCGTGACAAACATGATATTGGAGTATGAACTGGTGAAAGAGTGTTGTTGATACCGCACGCCATATGGGAAAAAACCTTTGCATTTAGCGATGCAGGTTTCTGTAATCCTTCACTGATTTGAAATGTGCAGAGAATATTGTCAGCTGTAAACAGCCGTGTGTGTATTGCCTATCCTGTCACAAAAAGCGGTGAAAATCTTACACAACGATGATAGTTTGATTGCGATGTTTACTTGTCTGTACTGCGTTTCAAAAATGTGACTAAAATCTGCATACTGCACATGTCTTAATTCCACTTCTGTTTAGCTCGATTATGACCTTAATCAGATAAATTAACCAAAAAAAATCGCTTTTAAATGGTAGACTCTTAATCAGAGTATTTATGTTCATGTAAATGTACCAATTGATAAGAAGAAGCACTTCCCGATCACCAAATCAGCATATTAGAATGATTTCTGAAGGATTGTGTGTTATAAATGCTGAGAAATCGCTTTGAATCAAAATAATGAATTATATTTGACTACATTTTAATGATATTCCACAATAATTATATTTTTAAAATGAAATAAATAAATCATCTTTGGTGACGCTTCATAAAAAAATCATAATAAAACATCTCGCCTCTTAAAAAACTCTGTGACCAATTAATGCATCATTGCTTGATAAATTAGTTTATGTTCTAATAAAAACAAAATCAGGATTTCTGTCATTAATAGAAATCAATTATTTCAATTAGAAAATATTTGTAACATTATTAAAGTCTTTATTGTCTGTTTTGACCTACGTTAATGTATCCTTTATGAATAAAATAAATTACATTAAAAACAAATGGAAAAACCTTAATGACTGGATTCTGTGATAATTAGAAAAAGAACAGGATTTATTTGAGTTATAAATCTATTGTAACATTATCAGTGCCTATTTTAGGGCTGCATGATACTGGAAAATACATATATTTTTGTGATATTTATAATAAAACTGGAGCAGCATGGTGACTCAGTGGTTAGCGCTGTCGCCTCACAGCAAGAAGGTCGCTGGTTCGAGTCCCTGCTGGGCCAGTTGGCATTTCTGTGTAGAGTTTGCATGTTCTCCCCGTGTTGGTGTGGGTTTCCCCCACAGTCCAAATACATGCTCTAAAGGTGAATTGATAAAAATAAATTGGCTGTAGTGTATGAGTGTGTATGTGTGAATGAGTGTGTATTCTGGGTGTTTCCTAGTAATAGGGTGCGGCTGGAAGGGTATCCGCTGCGTAAAACATATGCTAGAATAGTTGGCGGTTGATACCGCTGTGGCGACTTTTAAAATATAGACTAAGTCGAAGGAAAATGAATGAATGAATTTTAGATTCAATAGGATGATTTTGTAGGGGAGTGTTAACAAATTAACAAATAGTTAACAATTCGTCACCTTAGAATTAAAAGGTTCTATCTGACATTTTTGTCAAAATTGAGTTATTGACATATTCTTATTAAATAGCAAATTATTTACATTATGGGATGTTTTTTTAATAGTTGTTTACATTTTATGACTTTTTATTTAAAAAACAAATGTTTGCTATGCAATGCAAAAACTTTGAAGCTCAATAGCTCAAAATCATTCAGAACGCAGATAGAACCTTATAATTCCAAGGTGACGCATTAACAAATTAGAAAAAATACAGTAGAGCAAAAATACAAATGAAGGGATCTAACCGTATTCAGGGTACAGAAATAAATTTGTATATTCTTCATTGTATAAATAATTAAATACAGTTAATATTTGATAAGTTAAATCTAAAAATGTAATCATTTCTCAAGGCCAAATGCTTTAAACTTTACTTTAAAAATGCTTACACAGTCACGCAGACTTTAAAAACACAATTGATAAACGTTGACTTTTTTATGGTTAAACTGAAATGAATCCACAATTGCACCTGGTCAACTATAATCCTGACTCCACATTACAGATCCTGCTTTGTGACTTGACTCACACGTTGCGATATCAATGTTAAAATGATATGATGTGCAGGCCAAGCCATATTGTCACTGACATGCTAAATAAGCATATTGTACTAACTTCTTTTAATACTACCTAGGGATGCTCATTTTGGTTGCTTTTGCCAACCGACAACCGCAGCTCGTTAACCGAATATTAACCATTAACAGATTAATATTAAAATATTATTTAATTAAAAACAGTTTCACATGCCTATGTTGTGTGACACATTAAGTATTTCATTTTAAAATACTGATTTATTTTAACATTCGAACAGCATGCAGAACATAACAGAACATCTTCACACACCTGCAGTGTTTCCAACAGCATAGAAAAACAGAATAGGCTAAACTAAATCAAAAGAATAAGATAAATAGGCCTGCTCTAGATATTTTTTATTTAAATGACAAATTTACATTACAAAACAAAAACACTGACTGAATACTTTTTAAGAACCTGCATAGGCTGTTTGTTTGATAATTTTTTCTTCCGTCAAATAAAAATATTAGGCCACCTCAAATAGATCGCTCCAAGGAAAATATGCATTTAATTTATGCTCCGCTGTTATTGTATTACAAATCCTCTGTCAACATTTTTAATAGAAGTCATTAGTTTGAAGATTAAGGGCTCTATTTTGACGATCCATGTGCGAAGTCCAAAGCGCAGGGCGATTCAGAATCCACTTTTGCTAATATAAGGATGGAAAAATCCGCTTTGCGCTGTGGCACATGGTCTAAAAGGTTTGAGCCTATTCTCTTAATGAGTTATAGGTGTGTTTTGAGAATAAACCAATCAGAGTCTCATCTCCCATTCCCTTTAAGAGTCAGTTGCGTCGCGCCATATTGCATTTGCTATTTACATGACGGACTATGTAAGTGAAAAAACTGAGCGTTACACTTGCTAAAAAACAGTTGAACAGAGCATCTACAGCAAGAGAGTGAGAGATGAGCCTCCTCATTATTTACTTTCGCTTTCACTCTCGTGGATAAGGAAACGTGTTGTATGCACAGACATCAATTAGCCTACATAATTAATTTTGTTTGTTAAGCGCAAAGATTTGTTTCAAAACTATTTCTAAATTCGCTTATAATTTTCAGCAAACGAATAAATGAACAGCAATAACGAAGTTTGGTCAAACAACTGAGTTATGTCCAAATACACATGCTGTGCCCCATATGGTCTAAAACCTGACAGGTGGGTAAATCTAAGCTTGTTTTAATAAAACAAATATAAATATGCATATAATAAATAATACTGCTTATAATAATAACATTATACATAAGCAAATTGTTATGAATAAACTAAAAAAGCCTCCCGAGATGAAGAAGGCATGAAAGAATGGTTTTTATATTTATGTAGGCTAGAAAATAATAATTTTAGTAATATTTTAATCCTTTATATTTATATCATATATATATATATATATATATATATATATATATATATATATATATATATATATATATGCTTATTATATCCTATATATATCCTTAATATTTTAATTCTTTTTCATATGTAAAGATATTTGCGTATTGCTGTAGCCTACATCCTGTCTGTATTAAGCAATGTGTAAGCGAGGCGCACAACTAATGCCGGTCTATTGAACAATCTCTTGTTCCATTCTATTGAACAATCTATTATAGTTTCTCAAATAGCAATACGCCAGCAATGCACCTCAACACGCCTCCTTTTTTAGACCAGAACGCCAATGGGAGCACATATGAGCGCAAATGCTATTTAAACAGCGTGCTGCAAAACATCAAAACGACTCTTGCGCCAAGCTGAAACTAGCAAACAACTATTGCGTCGTGCCTTGCGCCACATTGTGCCACGTGTATGATAGGGCCCTTTGTCTTTAATTACAATTATGACTTTTTCCTCTGTCTCACTCGCAGTTCATGTGTGCATGCACTGCGTTTAATGAAAGACAATGACAATGAGCCTTAAGGCTCATATGTTGACTTTCTGTAAAGTATAGGCTACTACATAACATATACCAATTAGTTAGTTTAAATATAATAATACATTAATTTGCATACATGTTTTAGAAGCTGTAAAATGAAAGCCTCAGTTTGGTGCGAAGTTAGGCTATCATTATGCCAAAATCAAGAAAAACTTTGGTTTTGTTTGATTGGTAGATTAGGCTATGTAGGCTATTAAAAAATGTATATTATATAAAAAATTATAATAACTGTAATTTTTCAAATGGAAAAAGGTTGCTTTGTTAGTTGCAGCCTACGCTAAATCATCAGCCTATTTGTTGAGTTTATGACACGGCTTCAGGCAGCACAGAGGCCATCAGCATCAGCGCTGATTTTTCAACTCATCTGTGTCAAACTGTGACCAGAAATATCCTTCTTGTATTTTGCTTATTTGGCAAAATACATCTAAAGGCACGTTTGGTTGCACGCGCGAGTTAACAAATATGTATTGCACATCAGGGGCTGATCACAGCGAACGCGCTTTTCCATTACAAAAACGCGAGGGGGACCGCACTGCCTATTAAGTTGACAGGAAAAAAAGAAGTGCAGTGCTCTTTTGTATGTCACTAGGAAAAGACTGTATCAGCTGACCCGTATTGCGCTCGAGTGTTGCTGTTAATTTTGTTATAACTGTAATTTTTAATAACATTGTGATATTCAAGATCTGTAAAGTCATAAAGCTTTGAATGACTTGAAACAGCGACCACAAGTCTCTCCTCCATCATTAAAAGCTCGCTGTAGTCGTCTTGACAACACAAACACTGCTGTCACCTCAAAGGAAACCCCGCCTCTGCTGTCATTTGATTGAAGAATGAAAAAGACGCAACTGAGGTAACACACTTTCTCAGCTTGATCGCACATAGCGCGCAACGGCAAAATGCTAGGCGCGCAGGGCGCATAAGCAGCGCGTAAAACACTCGTAGCCGTTAGTAAGCCATTCAAAAGATGCAACTCTCAATGCAAAAAGTGCGTTCACTGTGATCGACCCCTTATGCAGCCAAACACTAAAAATATATAAAACAATATTTTTTAATCTTTTAACTTGGTTACAAATGAACCCTTTCGGTTAACGGTTAATCAGTTATTTTGAGCATCTCTAATACTACCCTCATACTTGTAACCATTAGTGCATTTCTTTAACAAATATAGCACTTCCTTCATGCTTTTTCACCCTGATTTAGTGATTTAAATCCCCAAGTGTGTTCTGTCCCTTCAGAGAGTACCGAATGCCCGATCGACTTGTACTTTGCTATTGACACATCTGAGACCATCGCTCTTCAGGAGAATCCGCCAGGCAGCTTGGTAGAGAGTATCAAAGATTTCACCATCAGATTTGCTGAGAAGCTCCAAAATGTGAACTACAGAGGATCCGTGAACATCACCTGGGCCATCGGAGGACTCCACTTCTCCCAGCTCCAGGAGTTCTTCAGCACCATCACCACTAAAGAGAAGTTCATCAGTAATCTCCGGCCCATCAGATACCTAGGCAGGGGCACGCACATTGATTGCGCCATCACCAACATGACCAAGCAGCTGGTCCGCTTTCCATCCAGACCCGATGCCAAACGATTCGCCGTGGTCATCACTGATGGTCACGTGACTGCGAACCCATGCGGAGGGATCAAAGTGGCGGCAGAACGGGCACGCGATGAAAATATTAGGATCTTCGCTGTGGCATCGTCCAGGAATTTGGAGGAGACGGGACTCAGGGAGATAGCAAACTCACCCGCTGGAGTTTACCGGGATAAATACATGGCGGTGAATCTCACTGGAACACGGCCGGTCATTGTGACGTCCACAATCGATCGCATTTATGACACAATGGTAATGCAAAGCTTTTTATTAGTGCTGGGAAAAGATTACTCGCGATTAATCACATCCAAAACAAAAGTGATAGATGTGTGTGTTATATAAGCAATATCACACTTGGAGCAGTGCGATATAGCTGTATATCAGCCCTGGTGGGAGGCGTGCAATGGCTTGAGGCCTCAGGCCGAGTGCCTTAGTGTCCCTCCAGTGACAATACACAACCATATCGCACTGCTACGAGTGTGATATTGTGTTTATACAACAGTTCAACGACATATTCATGTATATTAAAAAAATCAAACACGAAGAGTCTCAAATAACCTCAAAAACTACTTTTTTTCCGCCATTCATTAACATATGCAGCTGACCGCAGAACAGCAAAAACCATTGCTACTTCACACACATCACTTCAGAGATAGCATTTGAATGATTCTCTAGCTTAATATTTAAAGTGATGACAAAACAGGTGATTTTTGCTCACATTTTAAGATTATTAGGCTGAACAGCATGAAATGCCATCAATCTACAAAGATTTCCCTGTATTTCTCTGTTGCAATCGGGAGATCACAATAATTAACCCCCAAAAAGCCAAAGCAAACACTACCAGTTTCTGTGGTATAAATACAGCACTTGTCAATATCACTTACCTGATTTAAAATGATTTATTCAGTGGTAGTTTCAAACTTGCGCTTAGAAACGCTGAGTTTTTCATCCTGTAAGGACTTATTATGCGGTCTCTGTCGCAATCTTGTGGCGCAACTTCAATCGTCTCTTTCTTTGGTCTGCTCAGAGAGGCTTATGGCGGCCGATGCACTGTATCTCCGGAATTATAATTATTTGAAAATAGGCACTATCCTTAGAAATAAACTGCATAGTTGCAATCTAAACAACTCCATTCTCAAATAAAGCTTCAAAAAAACATTATGTTATCCAATAGCTGCAATATTTTTCAAGCTGTAGTGTCCTCTGCTTGTTGCTGTATGAGGGCGGAGTAATACACAAAGGTGAAGAGGCTGGACGAGTGGTGTTATTTAGAGAATATCACACGGCTATCAGCCAATCAGATTCGAAAACCGGACAGAAGTGTTGTATAAATATTTATACAGTTAAAGTCAAAATTATTTGGCAAAATTAATTCTTTTTAAATATTTCCCAAATGATGTTTAACAGAGCAAGGAATTTTTCACAGTAATTCCTATATTATTTTTTCTTCTGGAGAAAGTTTTATTTGTTTTATTTTGGCTAGAACAAAAGCAGTTTACGTTTAAAAAAAAAACATTTTAAGGTCAATATTATTAGTCCTCTTAAGCTATTATATATATATATATATATATATATATATATATTTGATTGTCTACAGAACAAACCATTGTCATACAATGACTTGCCTAATAACACTAACTTGCCTAATTAACCTAGTTAAGCCTTTAAATTGCACTTTAAGCTGGACAGTATCTCAAATAATATCTAGTAAAATACTATATTCTGTCATCATGGCAAAGATAAAAGAAATATGTTATTAGGAATTAGTTATTAAAACTAATGTGGTTAGAAATGTTTTTTTTTTAAATCATTCCGTTCAACAGATATTGGGCAAAAAAATCCAGGAGGGCTAATAATTCAGGAGGACAAATAATAATTCTGGCTTCAACTGTATGTGATACACACATACATAGAAACAAACTATAAAAAACTATTGTTACATACATTTAAATTTCGATATAATTTGCATCAAATATATATATATATATATTCTTTATCTACATATAAATTAACATTTTCTCAAATATATGCATGCACGTGTGTATTTATATATACATAAAAATATACTCTGTACACACATACATATTATGTCAAAACAAACTTTTATTTTGGATGCGATTAATTGCAATTAATGTTTGCCCAGCACTACTTTTTATACTTATATAGTTTTACATTAAGACATTTAAGGGGAATTTTTCTCACATATGACTTGATTTAGTATTTTGTTGTGGGTTGAAGATTATTTTAGTAATGTTTTGTTGTTGTTCTCTCTTGCAGCTTCATATGGCTTACCAAGAGGTGAGATACTGACATCAATTGGTTTCAATGTTTTTTCTCAGTAGGTTCCAACTTCAAGACTTTCCTCAAAGCTGTCACTGTACTCTTGAAAATAAAGGCTTTACATGTCTTTTTTTATTTGCATCAGTGCATTGGAAGCTTAGTTGAACAGTTCCTATAAGTAACTTATAGTTTACGCTACAGTAATTTACTAAACAGTTTTTAATTTAGTGTTTAATAAGCTTCATGTATGGATGATAACCTTGCCAAACGCAGATCCACAAATGTCAACAAAAAATAAAAATAAAAATAATAATAAAAACACAAATGACGTGATACACATTTGTTCCATGTTTATTTTACATGTTATTTTTAAAGGGATAGTTCGCCTAAAAAGGAAAATTTCCTCATTATTTACTCACACTCAAGTGGTTTTAAACATTAGCAATTTCTTTCTTCAGCTGAACTCAAAACATTATATTCTGAAGAATGTTGTAAACCAATTCAATTTATCTTAATTTCTATAGCACTTTTACAATATAGATTGTGTCAAAGCAGCTTAACATAGAAGTTCTAGTAAATTAAAACTGTGTCAGTGCAGTTTTCAGAGTTTAGTTCAGTTTAGTGTGCTTTAATTTTCACTGTTGGAAGTCCAAACACTGAAGAGCAAATCCATCATGCATAGTAGGATCAAGCACACTTTGGAAATTTCCAACATTCTTCAAGATAACATCCTTTGTGTTCAACAGAAGAAAGAAACAGGTTTGGAACAATGGATGATAAGTAAATGATAACAGAAATATCCCTTTAACATGTGAAGCTAGTGTGGATTGTCTATAATGGCTCGTCATGCTAAATAAAACAGTGTATAGATGTATAGAAGTATAGATGTTGACGTTCTTTACTGAACCATTGAGTTATCACATTTGACTTCTCTATGATCGTTCTATGAAAGGACTTATCATAGAAAATAGTTTAAAACCTCTGGAGTTATCCATATAGATGTTGTAAAGGTTCTTCATTTTTACTTAATTTTATAAGTGACCGAACTCATTTCTAACTAAATTTCATTGACATTTTCCAGTGCTACTCTACCAAATGCTTGGAGACTCCAGGACCTCCAGGTCCCCCAGGACACAGAGGACAGAAAGTGGGTGTTACAACAAGATGAACTGTTGTGGAAAAACTATTTTATTTCAATCAATTAAAACCTGATCCAACTTCATTATTACAGGGAGCTAAAGGAGATAATGGGGGCGCTGGCCTTAAAGGTGAAAGGGGACGACCTGTGAGTACAAGCCAATTCTCGTGAATGTATTATACACACTGCATAAACTGCATTTGAACTGAATGAGATTGAATAATAAATCTTATTTGCATTTAGTGAAAGTCTCACGTCAGTACTATTTCTTTTACCCTGTAGGGAGATCCTGGTATTGAAGGACCCATTGGACATCCTGGTCCTAAAGTAAGTTTTTAACATATCTCAAGTGGAGTGAAAAGGTATGGGGCAGTATACTTTATGAGTCAAAGCATTCAATATGTACTGTATATCTGGCTATGGGATAATGTTCATTAATTGATAAAGCATATTTGGTTAGCATATTCAAGTAAAATATTGTTCAGACAAAATGTTTTATGTGTTTTTTAAGTAAAAATCATATTTAATAGTGAAATATCAAATATTCAAATACGTTTTATTATCATTAATAGACTTGAAATGTTTTCTTTTCTTTTTTTTTTTTCTTATTTAGGGAGAGCCTGGTCTCAAAGGAGAAAAGGTACACAGAAAACGGTCATCTGTAAGATTTGATAAATATGACAAAATAAGACTTACATTCAAATGATCTGTTTTTAGGGAGAAATTGGAGCACAAGGAAAAAAGGTAAGCTCATCATACCTTTTCTTATTACTTTATATTTTCTCTGAATGAACAATTTTTCATCCTGCACATATTTTTTAATCATTTACAAAAAATGTTTTAATTGTTTGTCTAACAGGGTGTTGCAGGAATAGCTGGCCGTGATGGAAAAGATGGACAGAAGGTTAGTCAATGGAAAATTTGGAAGAGAGGAAAAATGAATTATAAATATTGGTCATCATTAAACTGTCAAAATAAAAATAAATCAATAAAAAGGCCTAATTTTTAACAGGGAAAATTTGGCAGGATTGGTGCTCCTGGCTGCAAAGGTGATCCAGGTGACAAGGTATGTGCATTTATTCATTTAGATTTATCCATTCATTTAATTTAGGATATGTTCATGCTTTTCTTTTTATTAAAAACGACTGCATTTAGTCTGGGTTCATTTTAGCGTTCACACTGTTTTTTAAGACCAAACCTAAACATACAAAATATAATCAAAGACTTTTATGACAGTTTTGATGCACATCCAAAATAATGCAGTGAGCCTAGCTAAACATGTTAGCTGGATGTGTGTTCATGTGATGGTATGTTTTGTATTACTTTAGAACTCATGACAAGGTTAGAAACTATAAAGGAGGCAAAACAGAATGAGGAATTCCATATGAAAATTGCCTTAATGAGACACATTTCCATAATGTATTGACTTAAATGGAGAACACTAAGATAACAAAAAAGTATGAAAAATACAGGGTGTCCGCGGGGTCTTAAAAATTAAATTTTCTTTAATTTCAAAAACAAAATTTTAGGTCTTAAAATGTCTTGCTGAAATATTGACTTAAATCATTTTAAATGGATCTTAATTTTCCAGTGTCCATGTAAAGCTGCCCAATCAGGTCAATGCCCATACAGTAGGGTTGAGTCGATAGACGATGCCATTGTCCATCACCGATGGCTGATAAACATCACAATGTTAAGCTGGCATCGCGATCCTTTGCCCTGTCCCCGCCGCAGCAGCAACCCGCTTGCAAATACAAAACGCTTAGGCCCCGTTTACTCTAATACATCTTAGTTTTAAAATGGCATTTTAGAACAAAAACGATCCACATCCACACTGGTGTTTCATTTAGCATTTCTGAACAGCTCTCCATCCACACTTTACTGCTGAAAACACCATCACGTGACCACACACACACACTCTGGCATTCAGCAGTATATGCGCACGTCTGAGCTCCAGGCAGTAAGTATGGGGTGCTTTAAGCACAAAACCCTAGAGAGCAATGCACGTCGAACAGTCTTCGGTCTTTTGAAATGGTTGGTTCCTGTTGGCTGTGTAAGTTTGTCAACACCATTATAACGACAGATCACTCTGGCTGTTCATGCCAGAGTTCCGCGGAAAAAAGTGATTGACAGGTGGTAATTTGTGTGTAACTTTTCTTTATTTGTTTATGATTGGGTTATGGGTAAAAAAAACAACCATGCGGGTCAATTAGTTGAAACAGAAGACTACAAATAATTCATTTATTATGAATGAATAAACTAATTATTCATGAATAATTATTTCACCGCTGCTTACACTAAGGTTGCTATTGTCCATCGCAATGTTTCACAATAGACATCGTATGATGCCAAATTGGTCGACCTCGCCAAACCCTACCATAGTCATCAACATCTCAATACATCTGAATCAAACTTTTAACAAAACTCTATTTAGAACTCTATTCAATGATACAGTTCAATAACATTTGTGAGTTCTCCATGTATTTATAGACTATATGTGGTGAGGACACTGACCTGGACAAACTGTTGCTGCATTTAGTTTAATTATAGTTTTTAAAGCTTGTCAAAGAAAAGTTAAAGTAAAAATGAAAAAGTGTATGTATGGTTTGCATCTTTTGACACATTATTTAAGTATTATTCAAGTAATTAGACTTGTTTAATAGGACTAGTAACAATCCTTTCAGTTTAGCCATGTATAAGTCTGAAATAAAGTCTTAAATTTGACTTGGTGAAACTTGCAGAAACCCTGAAAATATATGTTTATAGCAGTCTGAGATCCATCTTTTTTTGATAGCAACATTCACTCTTAAAAATTACACTAACAAAGCCATCACATTACATTCACTTTAATCAAACCAAACCTGCCAACTAAAAGTGAGACCATACTCTAAGTTATACAGGTCATCTAACCAGTGAACATATGCCTTTTACAGGGTCCTGATGGTCATCCTGGAGATGTTGGAGAGCCTGGTCTTCCAGGCGCTTTGGGAGATAAGGTACCTGATGAATCACAGAGAAAAGAGAAACATATCAAGCCATTAAAGGAATAGTTCATCCCTCACCATTTACTAAACTTTTATGAATTTATTTCTTCTGTTGAAAAAAAACCCCTTATATTCTGAACAATTATGGGGGGAAAATTGCTATTGACATCTATAGTAAGAACAAAACATACTATAGAAGCCAATGGCTGATTTTTTACAACATTCTTCAGTATATATTCATTTATGTTCAACAGAATAAAGAAACTCAAACAGGTTTAGAACAAGTGGTGAATGAGTAAATGATGACACAATGCATATTTTTTTTGTGAATTACTCCAAAATTAGGAAGCTTGATTTAATCTGTTTTGTTTTCTGACTTTGCTCTTAGGGTGATCGAGGTCGTCCAGGAAGATCAGGTCCTCCAGGCCCAGCTGGAGATCCTGGACCAAAAGTAGGATCTGATAACCCCAGAGATTACATCAATGTTGGCCATCAATCATGTTGTAATGTGTTCTCTTATGCCCCCTGTAGGGAGAGAGAGGAAGTCCTGGATCGCCTGGAATTCCTGGCACAAAAGGAGGCGCTGTATGTATTATTATTTTATTTATTTTTTTATACTTAGTTTTTATTGATTTTTTAGGAACATAGAACCAGTGGGAACAAAACAGACAAACAAACAAACAAAAAAAAACAATTATACATACATACGTGTACATACATACATACTGTATGTATATATACAAATACACCCATTTCACACATGTATATCTATATACACACATACATAAAATTTTTAAATTAACCTCAGCAAGAAAATAAATAAATAGATTAAGTATAAAATAAAATATCATAAAAGGTTGCCAAACATATTCTTACAATGATGCATTAATCTCTAGATTTATGCAAGTATTAAAATATGAATAATTATATTGCCATTGTGGAGAAAGCCAGTCCTTTACTCCTATTTGTGCTTGTGTAGGGCTTGTGTCGTTTTTTCCGTTTTCTCAACTTCTGCTATTATTATGAACCATTTGCTTTAGTTGGTGGCTTTTCCTTATACCATTTCCAGGTTATAGCTTTTTACCTGTTGCCATTAATATCTTAAATAGATATCTCCTCATTTTCAAGTTTATTAGGAATATCTCATAGATAAAGTACTTCGAATGATCTAGGAAAATGAAGAAGATCAAAAATATCATTGATAGCAGAGTGTACCGTTTCCCCAAAACTATGAATTCTTGAGCACTGCCAGAATATATGCGCATGACGTGCCTCCTCTACCCCAAAGTTCCTCCAACAAGGATGAGGAGTCCCTAATTGTAATGATTAAATTCTTTTAGTGTAATAAAAAAATACAATCTAATTATTTTAACAAAACTCACGTCACATTCTTGAGCTTGTTGAGTTATGTGGGACAGCACATATTTTAACCCATTGGTAAGGGCCAGACAGAATCTATGGACATTTCTATGAAGAATTTTGTATAAAAAATAAAAAATCTGCCGATTTATGCAGAAATATTTTGGGATTATCGTAACTAAAAACTTTATACATTAAATAAAAAGTAATAGCTTTTAAACAAGCTTTTTATTTAATGTTTACAATGCAAATCCATCTACATCCACTTATTTAGTAGACAAAACAAGTCTTTCATATAATCTGTCTACTAAAAGACAGAAAATATTACTTTACACACTGTATTGTAAATAAATGACACGAACACGTTCATATTAGTCATTAATTTTCCTGAAATCAATTTGAAAAATTAATAAATATAAATTTACATACATTTACACGAGTAAATAAATAGACTCAATGGTGGGCTAGAAATCTGTGGAAATCTGCGGATTTCTGCGTACGCAGATTTCGTGTGAGCTTACCCATTGGTTTTGATTCGAAATAATGCCTACTTCCTTTTCCCGTTTTGATCCTATATAGTCTGTTTAGAGTCCTCTAGAATTTGCTCTAAATAATTTAGAAATTGTTTTAGTCATTCTTAAAATCTGAACAAGCTGATTGTTTCATTCCTCATCCTGTATTTCTTTCATCTAATAGCCCTGCAACTCTACTGTAAATATCTAAATAGATCTTGGTTTATAAAACCAAACTTATCTTTTAAAGTTTGGAAGTATTCCATTCTACCATCTTTTATAATTGTACAAAATAAAAAGTTTCCTAAATATACCCATTGTTAAAATCTATTAGCCATAGTCCCAGGTTTAAAATCGGTCATGATCCACCCAATTCAGATCCATTTCCATTTGTTTTTTTCAAATGAAGCCCCTTTACCACTGTAAACAAAGTTTTCAACATAAACTGTGTTAGTGGTTATGTTATTCTTTTTATTCTTTTTAACTTCAAATCGATTTTTTTTTCTTCATAGGGGACAGCTGGAGGACCTGGACCCAAAGGAGATGCTGTGAGGATTTAATTTTTTTGCCTTCCTAAACTACAGTATGTCGCCCTGCAGTATTGTAATATTTGCTATTGCATTATTAGGGGCGAAGAGGAGATTTTGGACCTAAAGGAAGCACTGGACCTAATGGGGCAAAAGGAGAGAAGGTCAGTGTTTGGGTTCAAGGACAATTGAAACTTAAAATAGCATTTTAGAAAAGGTGTTTAGTATGTGCAGGGGAGCAGACTAATATCTGAAACGTCTACATATGTTTTGTATCTTAGAAATACACTTTTGACAGCTTGAGTTGACAGTAGCAGTATCTCGAGCTGAAGAATGCAGATGTCAAATGAACAAAAATCAACAAAGACTGTAACAAACTCATTATTTCATATTTTTGTAGGTCATGATAATCACGGGTATAGAAATAGTCTACAGTTTATGGTCTCTGTGTTTTTTTCTCTCGTTATGAACAGTATGTTGGTTGTGAACTGTAAAATGCCTTAAGTTTAAATGCCTTACTTTTTAATAAGCGTGTAAATGATGTGCAGTAATGTGAGTGCCTGTTTCATTTTGCTTTTGACTTTTAATATTTCTCATACACAAGGGATATGGTTTTTATTTCTGATCAAAAATAAATTTTCCACTGACAGGAACAAAGTGTGATCAATTGAATATCAGTCTGGAGCCCTGAAGCAGCTCTTATTTTATCATAAACTCTAGTGGTGTAACGGATCACGATTGATCACCACCCACAGTTCGGTATCTGTGGGAAATGACCCGCGGATAAGTAACTTTTTTAAACTTGTAGGTTAATCCAACATTTATAACAATTACAGATAGATCGCTTCCCTCATCATTCAAATCACGTTTATGAAAGCATTTTGGCTTCCTTGTAAAATATAATGATGATGGAAAAAGTTGTGGTGGGACCTATGTAAATGTTTTCTTAGGTTATGAATTAAAGGTGTTTTCTGTCACTGTTTAGCCTGCATTAATGAATTCGGTGTAAACCTGCAGAATTAAACATTAAAAAATTGTGATCTCAATTCAGACTCACGCAACATGAATGATAAATAATAATGATTTGCATATGTGTAAAAATCTTTCGAAGCGCTGTGTTCAAATATGTGTTTGATCGAGAGAGATTTAGTTTTTGCACTTTTTCAATTAGTTACAAACAATTAAATGACACAGAAGTACTGAGGGAACAGTTTATAGATCAGATGTAAACACTGATGTTTATGGTAAAGATTAAAATCACTGTTTAATGGAACTTGACGCTGGGGGAAGTTGTAGCAACTACATTGTTTAACCAATGGGTGGCGACAAACAACCATCAAAATGATGTCACTGAATTGATTTTCAAAAATGATCCACCTATAATGAAACATGAAGTTTTATGTGTGAATTTTTAAATCATTAATTGAAAATAAATATATGATGTACAAGATTTTAGATTTCCATATTTAGCATTATCAGCATCAGTCGCAAAGATTATTTTTCTTATTGAATACTTTCCTTTTTCTGCTGGTTCTTTCTTGATTTTTTTTATTAAAAGTACAGGTTCTGTTTGTTTAAACCAATAGTTTTTGCAGTAGTATTTGTGTTTAAATTGAAAGCAAATGACATTTATCTCCCTCCTTTTTTGCTTATCTAAAAAAATGGTCCGATCCTTGACTCAAAAATCGCAGCGTGATCCGTTACACCACTAATAAGCTTAGATACATTTTTATTTATGAATTATTTTATCAATGTCCTGGATTATTAATTGAAATATGGATAACATTTCACAGGGTGAACCAGGTGCTGAGGGACCCAGAGGTCTTGCAGGTGAAGTTGGCGGCAAAGGATCCAAGGTAAAAGCCACTGATATGGCTGCTTGAAAACAGAAAATGTATTTTTATTGGTTTAAATTTGGATACGAGTAAAAATAACCATTTTCTTACTAATGTCTAGGGTGATAACGGACTTCCAGGACCAAGAGGCCCACCAGGAGCTCCTGGAGATGCAGGCAGAAAGGTAATAGAAACTATTTGCAGTCAGCCTCATTGTACACTTTGGCTGAACATGTCTGAAACTGAAGGCGGATTTATTCATTCATTCATTCTCCTTCGGCTTAGTCCCTTTATTCATCAAGGGTCACCACAGCGGAATGAACCGCCAACTCATCCAGCACATGTTTTACACAGCAGATGCCCTTCTAGCTGCAACCCAGTACTGAAAGACATCCATACACTCTCATTCACACTCATGCACTACGGCCAATTTAGCTTATTCAATTCACCTATAGTGCATGTGTTTGGACTGTGGGGGAAACCAGAGCACTCAGAAAAAAACCCACGCAAACACGGGGAGAACATGCAAACTCCACACAGAAATGCCAACTGACACAGCCAGGACTCAAACCAGCGACCTTCTTGCTGTAAGGCGACATTGCTGAAGGCGGATTACTGTAGGTCAGATGATACTAATTTAGTTGGACGTATGAATAAATATGATGTTTTCACATAGGGTTCATCAGGTGACCCAGGTGATTCTGGCCCTAGAGGTGATCCTGGCCCTCCAGGACCAAAGGTACATCATTACACACACAAAACATCAACTCAATGTTTGCTTTTCTGTTATTAATGGCTTATCTGTTACAAATTCAAAATGTTTATGCTGTAGGGTGATTCTGGCAGACCTGGATTCAGCTATCCTGGACCAAGAGGACCAACGGTACTGTAATAGGTTGTAAATAATATCCTGTATTCCACAAACATTATGTATTCATTTGATGTATGTTCATCCTACAGGGTGACAGGGGTGAAAAAGGTTCTCCTGGACCCAGGGGAAGCAGAGGAGACTGTGGGCCAAAGGGTGACCCAGGTCTAAAGGGAACTCCAGGAGAGCCGGTGAGCAAATTGATTCATTTTAGCTGCTTATTTGCTGTTTAGGAAAGTCATGATTACAGGGCTAAAGCGTCTATGTGACTGCTTCAAATGCAGTGCTTGATTAAAACAGATTAGTTTGCCTGCTCTATTGTTATATTAAAGTATGCTTATTATTTTTTTCTGTCTGTGTAAATGCATTTATTTCACAGCTGAGCAGCATAAACATCCCATGTAAAGACAATTAGGTGCCTCTTTATAAGGTCAAGGTCAACTTTATTTGTATAGCACATTACAACATCATGAATGTTGACCAAAAATAAGATATTATTTTTCACAGGCATGGAAAACTAACAACCAGTAAGGAAAGATACAATATATAGTCCAATAAATTAAAATCTAAAAATTATTTTAAAAGATCTGTACAGACATAAGTCCTAACAATAAACGAAAATGGAAAATAAAAATCACCTCTGTGGAGCATTTGCTGTGTATTTTTGGCACAAGTTTCAATGCTTCCATAAAGTTTTACAGTATATTGATTATATTTTATTGTTAATTTGTTGTTTTTCAGGGAGAACCTGGCCCAGCAGGAGAGCCTGGACAGAGGGGTCCTAGAGGAGATGGAGGAAGAGATGTAATTGTTATGTTTAACGTATAATAAAGGGATAGTCACTTAAAGACAAACCTCTAAAGTTCTTCGATTAAAGGGGTAATACAGTATATGGAATTTAGAAATCTTCGTTTTAGTGACACCAGTGGCTGTTAAGTGAACTGCAGAGAGCAACGAATGTGCGCACGAGTGCAAACACAAGCAATACTGTACAAAAGACTGAAAGTGATCTGATTTAAAGTTATTGCAAACTGAATCCGGAATTTTCATCAGTAATTTCTGCGCGTCAAAAAATAAATTTAACCTCATGTTGTGTCAATCGTATTGACACACTGCCTCCGAAACTTTCGTCTGTCATAAAAAAATTAAAACCAGGTTAGATTTTTTTTCTTGCTTTTCGCATCCATTTTGACAGTTCAAAGCCACCGTACAAGCGAAAAGCTAAATACAGAATGCAGTCATTAGAGCTACAGATAACTTTAAGACAAACACAGTGCATACAATGAGACAGAATGTGGCAGACAGTTGAAAACCCCTACATACTGGATTTAGTGACTGGCGCATCTCTCCCTGCTGCTGTTTGGTGTGTATGTGTCCATACATTTCACATACTGCTGATAGACATTATAATAGAAAGCTACATCAGCGTGGCCACCGTCTATTATAATTCAATTCAATTCATTTTCATTTGTATAGCGATTTTACAATGTGGATTGTGTCTAAGCAGCCTAACATTGAAGTTCTAGTAAATTGAAAGTGCGTCAGTCCAGTTTTTAGAGTTAAAGTTCAGTTTAGTTCAGTTTAGTGTGGTTTAATTTTCACCACTGAAAGTCCAAACACTAAAGAGCAAATCCATCGATGCAGCCTATTCCTCTTTCTTTTTCTACTTTGGAGAAGAGAGGATAACTATCTATCACAGCTTGAATTGACTCTGAGAATGGATTAATTAATACACATCTCACTTAGTGTGCAAGGTTTTTGCACATTACGGATTTTTCACATATGAACACGAAAAAAGCAAATATAAAAAATTTCGGACCTCAGTGTATAAAGATCTTCACTCATGGAAAAGCAGGCTTTCATAGACAATCTATGTCTTTTTTTTAAGTTTGAGTTTATTTAAATGATTTTAATTGTGTCTTTAACAGGGTGATCCTGGACCAGAGGGAGATCCTGGCCTTACTGTAAGCATTCAAATTCTTAAAAATGAATTGCACATTATTACATGAAGTATCTGTGCTGAGAATGTTCTCCGCATATTCTTAGGAATGTGATGTCATGAACTACATCAGAGAAACCTGTGGATGCTGTGGTAAGATTCCTATTGTTAAAATCGTTTAGTGTGATACAGTATATTTGTGTTTATTACAAATTGTTCCTCTCCATTGCAGATTGTGAAAAGAGATGCGGTGCCCTGGATATTGTGTTTGTGATTGACAGCTCTGAGAGTGTGGGGCTGACCAACTTCACCCTGGAGAAGAATTTTGTGATCAACACCATTAACAGACTGGGCTCAATCGCTAAAGATCCCAGCTCTGAAACAGGTAAAAACACTGTCTTAATTAACATCCTAGCAACCACACATGATACTCTGCCAAACCCAAAGCAGGCTAAGTAATTTTAGAAACCACAAAGCACCTACCTCTTCGAAAAACATAGTAATGATGCAAAGATGAGTCATCTTAACAACTGCATAGTGACGCCCTAGCAACTACCCACAACAGGATGAGTCATTTTGACCATCACATAGCAACACCATCACAACTACCCAAACATTCCTTCAAAAGCATTGTAATAAAGCAAAGGTGAGTTGTCTTAGCAACAAAGGTACAACATAAGATGAGTCATTTCAGAAACTGCATATCAAGACCCTAGCAACCACTAACTACAAGATGACCTATTTTAACAACCACCAATATCCCTCAAAAAGCATAGTAATGATGCAAAAATGAGTTATCTTAGCAACTGCATAGCAACACCCTAGCAACCACCCACAAAAATATGAGTAATTTAAGCAACCACCAACAACCTTCCAATAGCACAGTAGCAAAGCAGAGTAAGATGAGTCATCCTAGCAACTGCATAACATTACACTAGCAACCACCCAAACAAGATGAGTCATCTTAGCAACCACTAATATCCCTTAAAAGCATAGTAATGATGCGAACATGAGTTATCTTAGCAACAAAGTAAGATGAGTCATCTTAGTAACTGCATAGCAATACCCTAGCAACCACCGACAACTAGAGTCATTTTAGCACCCACATAGCAACATTCTAGCAACCACATACTGTACAACAAAATGAGACTTTTCATATTTACTTAGCAACACCCTAGCAACCACCCAAACATTTATCCACAAGCCTAGTAATGATGCATAAATGAGTTATCTTAGCAACACAGCAACAAAGTAAGATAAGTCATTTTAGCAACTACATAGAAAAGACCCTAGCAACCATCCTCTAACAATAATATAAGTCATTTAAGAAACCACCAACAACCTTCCAAAAGCACAGTAGCAATGCAGAAGAAGGATGCGTCATCCTAGCAACTGCATAACAATACACTAGCAACCACCCAAACAAGATGAATCATCTTAGCAACCACTTATATCCCTCAAAATGCATAGTAATGATGCGAACATGAGTTATCTTAGCAACAAAGCAAGATGAGTCATCTTAGTAACTGCATAGCAATACCCTAGCAACCACCCACAGCAAGTGGAGTCATTTTAGCACCCAAAAAGCAACACCCTTAGCAACCACATACTGTACAACAAGATGAAACTTTTCATTTTCACATAGCAACACCCTAGCAACCACCCAAACATTTATCCAAAAGCCTAGTAATGATGCATAAATGAGTTATTTTAGCAACACAGCAACAAAGTAAGGTGAGTCATTTTAGCAACTACATAGAAAAGACCCTAGCAACCATCCTCTAACAATAATATAAGGATGCGTCATCCTAGCAACTGCATAACAATACACTAGCAACCACCAAAACAAGATAAGTCATCTTAGCACTTACCTACCAACTCCCTAGCAACCGCCCACAACAATATTAGTAATTTTAGCAGCCACCAACACATTTCCAAAAGCTAAGGATTGAGGCAAAGTGAGATGAGTCTTAGCACCCAACTACCAGCACCCTAGCAACCTCATACAACAAGATGAGTCATTTTAGCAACCACCAAAATCCTTATAATGAGGCAAAGTAAGATTAATCAGCTTAGCAACTGCATAGCAACACCCTAGCAACCACCCACAAAAATATGAGTGATTTTAGATCTTGATTAGCAACACCCTAGCAACCACCCACAAGATGAGTCGAAGTTGCACCAAAGTAACGCTTCTAAAACACACAGCTTTAAGCTAGTAGCAATGCAGATGAGCTTTAATGTAATCTAATCAAATGTGTATCTTCCAAATGTCTCAGGAACTCGAGTTGGTGTCGTCCAGTACAGTCACAACGGAACATTCCAGGCCATTCGACTCAACGACTCCAAGATCGACTCCATGTCAGCCTTCAAAGATGCTGTGAAGAAGCTAGAGTGGATTGCTGGAGGAACGTGGACTCCTTCAGCCCTGAAGTTCGCCTACGATAACCTGATTCGTGACAGCCGTCGGTCAAAAGCCAATGTGACGGTGGTCGTAATCACAGATGGTCGGTATGATCCCCGGGATGATGACAAACTGCTCAATTACCTCTGCACCGACACCAGCATTGATGTCAACGCTATTGGTATTGGAGATATGTTTGACCAGCCGGAGGAAAACGAAAGCTTGAAGTCTATCGCCTGTAGAAAAGATGGAAGAGTCATGGGAATGAGGCGTTTCGCTGATCTGGTCGCAGAAGATTTCATCGACAGGATTGAGACTGTGCTTTGTCCGGGTGAGTGTTGTCAGAAAGGTTGTCTGATTTTACACTGCACTGTTGCTCTTTACCGCAATTTTACAGTTTTACTGCAAAGACTCCCAGTAAAATACCACAAACATTTTTTACAATTCACTACTGTATAGGGATGCAACGAATAACCGGTTTCACTACTGTTATAAATCATAAAGGCATCTCAACACTGTGTTTCTGCACGGTACAAAACTGCTGCAACTAAACAAAGATATGCCAACTGTGAGCTAGTTTAAAGTTCTGAGCTTGTACACTAGATTAACTATGGCTGAGGCTATTAACTAAGAAATATCCATCTTTTTTGTGCGCAAGTTTGATATTTCTTTTCTTATTTGCATATTGGGAATGACGTGCACGCGGTGCACACGCGGCATGACTTGCTCACGTTTTCCAGGCACACCTCATTGAAAGAAGGATCATACTTTGTATAGAATATACACATTACTACTCCAAAGAGAAAAAATACAAAAGGAAACTACCAAACAATTTTGTAATAGAGTTGATCAATTGTGGCTTTCAGACAGAGGTTAATCAGTCTTTGACTACATTTGTTCTCTCTAAAAAGCTTTGCTCCACATTAGACAAATCCTATTTTTTATTTATTCTTATTTTGATTTATCTATTTATTTATTTTATTGTTCTGTCATTTATTTTCAGTGTAAAATTGTTACTTGTTTAAATGCCAAAAACTTTTATTTCACTTATTTTTAAGTCCAAAGAGAAATCGACTATTAAAAACCACTTTAAAATATAAGGAGTTTTTATGTGATTGTTCCAAACTAGTAGTGTTTTGAAATTAATAAATGCATAATAATCATGATAAGCAAAGAACCGTGATTATTCCTTAGACTATAATGGTACAACCAAAATCTAGAATCATTGCATCCCTGCTACTGTAATATGCACTGCATTGTAGGTCATTTTAAAACTTTTACAGTAACTTACTTCATATTAGGAGTTTACGGTATTCTACTGTAAACAAAGTAATTAAGTACCGCTAATGTAGTTGAAGACAAATATGTGACGGCTAATAAAAAAATGAATCGCTTGTGTGAAAATTAAATGTAAATAAATTACAGTAAAAATTGTCATACTGTAAAATAAAAAAGGGCATTTTTAGCAAAAAAAAAGAAGTTGCGGTAAGGCTATTTTACTGATAAATAAAATTGCAGTAGGGCCCTGCTACTGTAAAACACATTTAAAGGTAAGTTACTGTGAAGGGGCAGTTGTGGTAACTTGCTGGCAACAGTGCTGGCAGTAAGTTACCACAAAAATACAAACAAAAGTCTAACACTGTGTGGAAATTGAGCTTCTCTTAATCAAATTTGTTTGCTTTTTGTTTTAGATCCTGTGGTCATTTGCCCTGATCTTCCATGTAAAAGTGGTAGGTGTTTTTTGTTTTTTTATTTTTTTTTTATTTTAGACAAATCCATTTTACATACAGAATGCATAAGTTTTGCTCTTTAGTATAACTGTTTTTTTATTCGTTTATTTTTAATGTCCATATGTGCATGATTTGATTGGGCTGAAACAGGGAGAAAGTATGTGTTCACTGAATGCTGTTTCAGTATTATTTTTTTATTTATTAAACTGTTTATTATTTTTAATGAGCTTTTATATTTTCATTTAAATAGTAGTCATTTTGTGATGTTCTTTTGTCATCTGTAGTAGTTTTTGTAGGGTCTTTTTAAATATTTTTTTAGGTTCGATTTTTAGTTTTTGTTTTATTTGTAGTTTTTTGTAGTACTTTAGCAAACAGACTTTTCAGTTATAGTTTTTAAGGCAGCATTTTTAATTATTATATTATATTATATTATATTATATTATATTATATTATATTATATTATATTATATTATATTATATTATATTATATTATACACACTTTATTTCAGCTGTATTTCAAGAACTCATAGAATAGTTTTAGTTAACAACTCTTCACACAATACTGTTCATGTGTATTTACTGAATGATACAAACAATTTCTTTATAAAAATACAAGAACTCAAGCTTATATTTCAATATATGAATAAGCTAAATATTGTTAATTAAGCAATTGCAAAACGATGCAGGATAAATATTCAGCATAATTATCAAAGTCATTTTTTCATACAGTAAAGATTCAGTACACATAACAAATGTTATACATTTGTTAGGTGATGCATCTCAAATGTATATGTTATGAATAATAATCACACATTTGTTATGTGATAAGCAGCCCAAACTCACAATGGAAATGTCACATCCGTAATCCTACCCAATTTCTACCTTACTAACTATTAATAAACAGCTAATTAGTAGTTTATGAATCTATTAGTGTTATTATTTTGTTAATATGTGACCTAAACTACGCATTACCTAAGCATTACCAAATGTTTTTGTACCATTTTGCTGCCAGTGACCTTTCCTTGTGTGTATACCAGCAAAACACACACCAATCAGCACAAAAGATATCAAATCCAAAACTAAATCCAATCAAAACAGCGACTAGGCGGAGCCGGTTGCTGGAGGCCCCTAAAACTATTGTTTCAACGCTCACTTGCAGATGACGCCCTTGCAGAGGAGTGGAAGGACAGTCCCATCCCAACCACTGTACTAAGCGTCTCAAACTTAATCAGCAATCTACAAGAGGCCAAACACCCCGATACCTACACCAAGGCCATAGCTACATTGGCTTACACAGCTCAGATGGCTAAACTGAGCCCTGAACCTGACAAACAGAGATGGACCGATCTGTTCATCGACTCTTTTAGAGTCATCTATTCTGAGATTAATGGAGACCCAAACAAAGCGCTTGGCTTGTGCTAGGAAGCATGGCATTGGGCATTTCCAAAATATTCCAATCGATGGCTCGAGTAGAGTAGGATGCATTTGGCCTCGCTGTAGGATTGCGCTTAAGTACTAAAAAGCTAGCTGATCTGTGCATGAAAATTAACAGAAATTGAATGCAGTTGCTAATACCTCTAGATGTTGACTTCATGAACAGTTAACATCCAACTATATTTCTTTGCTAACTTCTGCTGTGAGCAATTTGCTTATATGAAAATGTGACCTTGATGATTTCTGGCTGCTTTGCGATCGTTGCATTGAAATAATTGCATTAGCATTCAAGCTAAATGAGCAATGTTTTTAATAGATGTACAGATTTATAATCAGTTTGCTGGCAAAGCATGCTATCGGTGCTTATTTGCTTGACTCCTCAGGGCCTATGAGATTTGAAGGCATTTTTTGAGCTTTTTTAAATGTGATCATTCATACTTGAAAGGTTAAATTAACATTAAAAAAGAAAGTTCTGTTATCACTTCTTCACGATTATGTCTTTCAAACCTGTATGGTTTTATTTATTTTATATTTCAATATTATAAAAACTGTGATCATTAGCTGTTGAAAAGGAAATTGAACTCTCCCAGCAAACAGTTTTGTGTTTGATAGATGTCTGATAGACATCTAAACATAGATAGCTTGACTAAAACAAGGCTAAACTTGGGATGTCAGTGAACATCTAATAGACATCTAAAACTAGCCCAAAACTAGACTTGTTGTCAAATAGACAAATTAATCAGACTTTATACAATATGTACAGTGCATCCGGAAAGTATTAATAGCGCTTCACTTTTTCCACATTTTTTTATGTTACAGCCTTATTCCAAAATGGACTAAATTCATTTATTTTCTCAAAATTGTACACACAATACCCTATAATGACAATATGAAAAAAGAGTTTTTGAAATTGTTGCAAATTTATTAAAAATAAAAAACCTGAAAAAGCACATGTACATAAGTATTTACAGCCTTTGCTCAATACTTTGTTGATGCACCTTTGGCAGCAATTACTGCCTCAATTCTTTTTGAATGTGAGGCTACAATCCTGGCACACCTGTCTTTGGGAATTTTTACCCATTACTCTTTGCAGTTCCTTTCAATCTCTATCAGGTTGAATGGGAAGCAACGGTGTGCGGTTATTTTCAGATCTCTCCAGAGATGTTCGATAGGAATTAGGTCTGGGCTCTGGCTGGGCCACAAAGGACATTTACAGAGTGAAGCCACTTCATTGATATGTTGGCAGAGTGCTTTGGGTCATTGTCCTGCTGGAAGATGAACCATCGCCCCAGTCTGAGGTCAAGAGCACTCTGAAGCAGGTTTTCATTCAAGATGTCTCTATACATTACTGCATTCATCTTTCCCTCTATCCTGACTAGTCTTCCAGTTGCTGCTGAAAAACATCCCCACAGCATGATGCTGCCACCACCATGCTTCACTGTAGGGATGGTATTAGCCTGGTGATGAGTGGTGCCTGGTTTTTCCAAACGTAACGTCTAGCTTTCACTCCAAAGAGTTCAATTTTAGTCTTATCAGACCAGAGAATTTAGTTTCTTATAGTCTGAGAGTCCTTCAGATGCTTTTTGGCTTCCGTCTGGCCATTCTACCATACAGGCCTGATTAGTGGGTTACTGCACAGATGGTTTTCCTTCTGTAAGCTTCTGCTCTCTCCAAAGAAGAAAGCAATAGCTCAGACAGAGTAACCATTGGGTTATTGATCGCCTCCCTGACTAAGGCCCTTCTCCCCCGGTCACTCAGCTTAGATGGCCGACCAGTCCTGGTGGTTCCAAACACCTTCCACTTACTGATGATGGAGGCCACTGTGCTCATTGGAACTTTCAGAGCAGCAGAAATTTTTCTGTAACCTTCCCCAGCCTTGTGCCTCAAGACAATCCTGCCTCGAAGGTCTACAGACAATTCCTTTGTCTTCATGCTTAGTTTGTGCTTTGACATGCACTGTCAACCCTGGGACCTTATATAGACAGGTGTATGCCTTTTCAAATCATGTCCAATTAACTGAATTTACCACAGGTGAACTCCTATAAAGCTGCTGAAACATCTCAAGATTGATCAGTGGAAACAGAATGTACCTGAGCTCAATTTAGAGCTTCACGGTAAAGGGTGTGAATACTTATGTACATATGTTTTTTCAGCTTTTATACTTTTAATAAATCCATTTTTTAATAAATCCATTTAGGAAAAAGGCTGTAAAAAATGTGAAAAAGTCAATCGCTATTAATATTTACATTTTTTTTATTTTATTTTATTTGATGACTAGTCTAGTTTTGGCCTATTCTTAGACGTCTGTTAGATTTCCACAGAAAGCCCATATTTAGCTTTGTTTTAGCCAAGACGACTATGTTTAGATGTCTATTAGACATCTTTTAAAAACAAAAAATGCTTGCCGGGCTATAAAAACAGTGCATGATAGAAGGAAAATCTTACAGGTTTGCACCATCATGCAGTGATCACAGAGTTTTCATTTTTGATTGATCTATTCCTTTAAAGCATCTCTATATTAACAGACCATTCATTTTGATACTACATGCATATCAGTTTTGCACTTTGCACATTTAGATTGAGTTATCAAACCATACCCCTGTAGCTTCTCCTAGCTTGGGAAAATGTGAAGCTTTTTAGTGCTGCTTTACTTATTGTTGACTGTCAAATGCCCACTGTGTGTTGTATCAATTGAAGAATGTTTTGTTAGCCTCTGTGCCAATGTTATATATTTCAGGTTTATTCTTAAAGGGTTCTGTTATGCTTTTTACACTTCTTTTACATTGTTGTTTGGGAATGAAAAAAGAGAGTTATTCCATTTAGACTGCAAAGCTACAATTCAATCACCCCAACCAAAATATTGTTCCCTAAATATTACACTACACTACCTGACAAAAGTCTTGTTGTTGATCCCAGTTGTAAGAGGAAATAATACCTTGACTTATAGTTATTCGTTTGGAAAGTGGCAAAACATAGATTTATCAGAGGGTAGATGAATCATCTGTTGAACTGCATTCCAATCATCACAAATACTGCAGAGGAAATATTGGAACCAGCATGGACCCAAGATTCACACTGAAATCAGTTTAGTTTGGTGAAGGAAAATCATGGTTTGGGGTTACATTCAGTATGTGAGAGATCTGCAGAGTGGATGGCAACATCAACAGTGTGAGGTATCAAGACATTTGTGCTGCCCATTACATTACAAACCACAAGAGGGGGCAAATTCTTCAGCAGGACAGCGCTCCTTCTCAAACTTCAGGCTCCACATCAAAGTTCCTGAAAGCAAAGAAGGTCAAGGTGCTCTAGGATTGGCCAATCCAGTCACCAGACATGAACATTATTGAATTTTAAATAATTAAAAATCAAGGCATGATCATATTTTATATCTTATAAAATATATCTTATATCTTATTTTTATGATTATTAAAATAAGCATAATCTAGAGGCCTTTGCCTTTCATATGTCACTTCTTATACCAAACGGTCAACTAGAAGTCAAGGTTTTATTTGTTGTTCCTAAAACTTTGATAGGTGACAGGACTTTTGTCAGGTATTGTATATCGCCAAAATCACCATAAATACAATCGTTGATGTCTGAGCAAGTTACAAATATCAGATGCTTTAGCATCTTTTTGCAATAATCAGCATTTGATTGGTGCGAAGATCTGATGTGAAGTTGAAGAAGTATGAGAGTTTAGAATGAAATAATAGACTGCCATTTTAACATATCTTATAATGCTGCATTGCGTCACTCACTCTAGGTTACTTCAGATGTTTTCTTTACCTAATGCAAATGAATTGTCTGTGTCATTCACTATGTCCTGCAGAAATTTGCCTCTGTTTGCACATTTACATTAACTTTGTATCTAATTTTTCACAACTTAATTTCACTTTGCCATGAACCCAGCATAAATATGAATTATGTCAATATTTAGAGTGTAGATAACCTTAAGGTTTATATATTGACACTAATGGCATGTACATATTGAGTTAACTTCCTTAAGATGTGCACCTAGCTTGGTGAGTTTCACCAACTCCTCCAGGAGCTGTGCCTGGATGACAGCCGCTACAAGAACAAGATCCTTATTGGTTAATGTGGCAAATCTTCGGCAAAGTTCAGTTTTTCAAATTGAGCGATTTGCACAGATCAAGTGTTATGCGCATCAAACACCCAAAACACTCAATTTGCACCATATAATTAGCTTAAATCGCGTCATTCGTGCTGCCTCATTCACACAAACCACACCGCAGGATGTCTATTGCATCATAGACTTAACGTGTAAATCACTCATGCTTAATGCTTCACCACGTCTGGTTTCAAGAGTTCATACTTAGCTGATGATCTACCAAAAGCTTGTTTGGCATGCTGTCCCAGGAAAGAGCTCAAGGGATCCTCGAACCTGGGGCTTCCTCACGTTCGCAGAGCGAGAGGGGAGCTTGAGTTCGGTGGATCTCAGAACTCCCTGGCTTCGGTAGCTAAGGGAACAAGTGAGAAAAAAGAGGGCTAGACAAATCCTTGATTGTTATGCATGATGTATATCTTTGGATGGTGGGAGGAAACCGGAGAACCCGGGGAAAACCCACGCGGACACGGGGAGAATATACAAACTCCTCACAGAAACGCCTACCGGCCTGGTGGGACCAGAGCCGGCAGTGTTTTTGCTGTGGGGCTAACAGTGCTAACCACTGGGCCGCCGTGCCGCCCGATCTATGGTTAAGGAGAATGGGGAGGAAGGAGGGTTTCTTCCAAACGAAGATAAAGTGGACTGAAGACTGTGGTTATTTATAGTAGCTTAGAGCTCATATGATTGGAAGATAATGATTTGCTAATACGAGACCGGCTGTGATAAATAATAAGCATGTGATCCTCTTTAAATTAGTTTATAAATAAACTTCACGTAAATCAACTATAACATTCATAAAGGTTTTCATTTTGATTTAAAATGCTTACAGAGGCATTTTTATTTTTTTTTGTTGCTGGGGTAATTGAGGCACTAGCTGTAAAGGCTCCACCCTTGTCAGGAAAAGGGGGTGGAGAGTAGCAGCTCATTTGAATTTAAAGAAATACACAATCAAACAGAGAATTGTTTTGGCTACTGCCAAAAGATGTGCTGATCATTTTTAGCATGGTATTTAGAGCTGAAAATTCCCAGACAGATTGTTAATACATATTATTATAAAACATATTGTAACAAAGCATAATATGACCCCTGTCCTGTTGATTTTAAATACATTTCCTAACTTGCCCTAAAAGTGAATCTGCATTTAGGCAACAGAAAGCTTTAGAATCCCTAAGTGTTTTTAATAGTTATTTATGTACTACATTGCCTGTTCAGTCGTTCATTTGTAGGCTGCTTATATACAGTAGATGTTGATTGCTATTGACGTTGCATATATTGCATGTTTGATGATTATCTCAGTGGTTCTATTTCAGTGAAAAAGTTCATATCAATGTGAATTAGCCATGGTATTGAGTATCAGTGGGTGAAAGATAACAGATGACATATGGACTTCATAAAGCAGGGATATCCACACTCGGTCTTGGAGGGCCGGTGTCCTGGAGAGTTTAGCTCCAACCCTAATCAAACACACCTGAAGCAGCTAATCAAGCTCTTATTAGGTGTACTAGAAAACTTCCAGGCAGGTGTGTTAAAGCAAGTTGGAGCTAAGATCAGCAGGACACCGGCTCTCCAGGACCGACTTTGGACACCCCTGTCATAAAGGATTCAGAAGGAATATACTTTTTTCAGTAAACTATCATGGGAGATTTGATTCTGTAATGACGAAGTATGTATATTTAGGAGCAAGTGTTATATATATATATATATGACAGGTATATTAGGAATGTGCAATGGAACAAAATGCCAAGCTGTTGGACTGCAAGAAACGCTTGAAAACATTTTTGAAATATTTACAAAAATATTAATATAACTTGAAATAAATATCTTCAGCAGTGAAATGCTTGTTAAGTTTATTTATCTAATTTTGACACATTATTTATTTTATTTTTTTTATTTAAACACATATAACATTTTACAAAACAATATACGTGCCAGGGGGTAAGGTAAGTATGAACAAAATACAAATGTACATATACATTTGTATAAACAAATGTAATATGTTGCGGCTGGAAGGTCATCCGCTGCATAAAAACGTGCTGGATAAGTTGGTGGTTCATTCCGCTGTGGCGACCCTGGATTAATAAAGGGTCTAAGCCATCAAGAAAATGAATAAATAAATGAATGAAATGTAAAATGTAATATACATATGTAATAGTTAAATAAATACATTATAGAGTTCACAAATGTTTAACGTGTGTAGGGCTTTCTTGTTTAAAGAGACTCTGATACTAGTAATATACAAGCATAGTTTAGTCACCAATACCCTTAAATTACGTTTCTTATTAGTAAAGTTACATTTACGAATGTAAAATTTAGTTAAAAATGTAAGTAAATAAATTCAATTGTGATAGACAGTAAAGCCAAAAAGTACATTTTCCCATAACAATTAAAGGTTTACAACAATAAAATTTGTTATTAATAAATTTTGTTGCTCACCCCATTTTTGACACATTTATAAAGTTTGGCTGTTTAAAAAAATCTATTTGAGTCTTGAATTAGTAACTAAATCCAAAGCATGTCAACCAACACAATTATTGCTGTATTTCTCTATTCTACAGAGCCAGCCGTGGCCAACTGCATCCAGCGGCCTGTTGATCTGGTCTTCATGCTGGACGGCTCAGAGCGTATGGGCCAGGAGAATTTCCGCTATGCACGTGAATTCGTGGAGAATGTGGCCAACCGTCTCACACTAGCTCAGGGAGATGATGATGAACGCAATGCAAGGGTGGCTCTCCTGCAATATGGAGATGAAAACCAACATCAGTTGGCCTTCAAACTAACAAATAACTTCACCGTCATCGCTGATGGCCTGGCCAACATGAGGTACCTAGATTCAACCTCCAATGTTGGAAGTGGCATCATCTACGCCATCAACAATATCGTCACAAGCAGAGGCACTCGATTGGCAAGACGAAATGCAGAGTTGTCGTTTGTCTTCATTACCGATGGGGTCACCAGTAACAAAAACCTGGAAGAGGGGATTAGTGCCATGCGCAGAGCCGAGGGCGTTCCCACTGTCATTGCCATGAGCAATGATGTTGACAAGGAAATCCTTGCAAAGATTTCCCTGGGAGACCAGACGGCCGTTTTCAGGGGTGAAGATTTTGCCCGTCTGAACAAAGCCAGCTTTTTTGAGCGATTCGTTCGGTGGATCTGCTGAGATGTTGGGTGGGTTTTTTAGTAAACAGGGGGATTGGTGTGTCCCCACATAGAAATCTGATATAAGGCAATATATGCTATTTACATCCATGATATTCAAGTTCATATTTGGATTTCACATATATGAACAACCCAGGCTCATTATTGATACAGACCCCTATATACGTTGCGAAATACATCCCAGGAGCTACGTTATTTTGCAGTTTATGTTTTTGCAAATGCACCAGAGGCTGCTGTATATCTCAAATTTACCCCGCGGGTGCCATTCGTGCCTGCTGTTCTCACCAAAATCCACCAGAGGCTGCTGTCGACTGACTGACTGACCGATTGACCGACCGATACCCCCAACCACCCCCTTCTCGAAACCCAACCAATAGTGTTTTCAAAGCCCAGATTGACCTAATCACCCTCTTAGCTAAACTCAAGTGTTTTCAAACGCAATCCAGAAAAAGAAAAGCCCCCTGGTTTTTACCACACTTTGGGATTTTACCACATTCTCACCCTGTTATTTACTTGTTTATTTTATTTTTTGCCTTTTGTTTTTTTGTTTTACCTGCTTTCTGTATCTGTTCTTCACCGGACTCATGAACCCCATTGTCGCAGTCAACTCCTCTCTGCTTCACAAGTCCGCCGACATACAAGGCGAGCCTCTGGGCAAACTGGTAACAGCAGAAAAGCTGTCCTTATGGAAGTAAGCAGTCAGCTGGTAGTGAGAAAACAAACAGAAGTCATCGGCGCCGTCATACCGCCCTGTAGCTTTCATTTAAAGATGAAATGCAGCTATATGTAGCTCTGTCTACATAATGCGCGCACTCCAGAAATGTATACGGGGGTATGTTTTCAGTTTGAACCTAAGTTGTATAGAAAATATGTCATACATACAACATATATTTCCAAATATTGCAAATCATTGGATATACAAATATGTACATATGTATTCAAATATATTAGCTACACATATTGGCAATATATGAACACACAAACACACACACACACACACACATCAAATATAAATACAATTTAGTTTAAATTTTGTAGTTTGTATAATTTTATTTGCAATAACCCGTGACCAAAGTCTTATTTTAAGAAATTTAACTGATTAATAAAACATTTTTACTTAAATGCACCAGAAATTATTAGTTATATTAAAAAAATAGATTAAAAATATTCATTTTCAAGGGAGTTTTACTCATTTATGCTGAGCATTTTAAATAAATATTTGAACATATATGTACATATTTCCTATGTTCCTATGGTTAAAAATGTATGTGTGTGTATGTATGTATGTATATATATATATATATATATATATATATATATATATATATATATATATATATATATATATATATATATATATATATATATATACATATACAAAGTTAAAGTCAGAATTATTAGCCACCTGAATTATAAGACCCCCTGTTATTTTTTTCCCCTCAATTTCTGTTTAACGGAGAAGCTTTTTTCAACAATTTCTAAACATAATAGTTTTAATAACTAATTTCTAATAACTGATTTATTTTATCTTTGACATGATGACAGTAAATAATATTTGACTTAATATTTTTCAAGACACTTCTATACAGCGTATGTGTGACATAAAGTGACATTTAAAGGCTTAACTAAATTATTTAGGTTAACTAGGCAGGTTAGGGTAATTAGAAAAGTTATTGTATAGCGAAGGTTTGTTCTGTAGACAGTCGAAAATAAAATAGCTTAAAGGGACTAATAATTTTGACCTTAAAATGTTTAAAAAAAATAAAAAACAGCTTTTATTCTAGACAATGTATATATTTATAAATATATATATATATATATATATATATATATATATATATATATATATATATATATATATATATATATATATATGCAAAATCTAAACATGAACTTTGAATTACAAACATGACAGATTTCTTTGTATCAGATTTCTGAATGGGTCAAAGGGTTCAACAAAATGATTAGATGCATTTATTTTCAGTAAATATGCACTTCATGGTAACAGAGGTTAAATTGGTTTGTTGTGCAGAGATAATGACTTACATATTTTTATAGCTGAAAACCTTAAAAGAATGCTGTTTTTTGATTAGCTTTAACTTGAGGATGCACCAATGGCAATGGGGGGTTTGGGCACAGGAAGATACTGCAGTAAACCAAAAGATCCAATTAGTAGTAACACTCCAAAGAATATGTACTGAATGTGTATGTTGACAATGTTGCAATTGTAGTTTTTTTTTTATTTCTGTATTTTTAATGCTGAAAGGCCTCTAAGCTGAATTGTTTGTTTGATATATTCCTCTACACAAGGTGCTAAACCAGAGTAAGACTGGAGTTCAGGATGCACATTTGTAAAAGTGCACTAATTCAGGTGTATAAACAGCCATTTCAAAGATTACACTTGCCACGTTGACATTTATACAGCAAAAATGTGCAATTTCAATTGGCATTGACTTAAAAAGGGCCTGGATAGCTGAATGAATTAAATCTACACTACTTTCCACAGCATGTGCACTCTTAATCCAACACAAGCAGATTCAGAATAAACATTTGCTTAAGTACAACATCGAAAGATCATTTTAAGACTATTGTTAGGAGCACGATCACTCACTTAATTCCAGAGCCAAAGGGAACATTTATATATTTGACATGCTGTTGGACACTTGAAGGATTATTTCCAAAGTTGCTGTCAAACTGAAATTTTAGAACAATAAATCAAGCTGTGGTAACAAAACTGGGGTGTCTGTGATGTTTATTCAAACAAAAAGGAAATTGTTAAAATTGTTTAAGATTTGAATAAGAATTGAATTCGAGTCTAAAGTGATATCAAACATTTTTCTGTATTATTTGCACAGGGTTATATATTTGTTTTTTTGTTTTTACTGAACAAATAACAGAAGAAACGGGCTGAGCCACAATCATCTCTAAATACAAATAGATTTTTGGGGGGGACTTTAAACTGGTCCATAAGTTAAAGTAGATATAATTCAATAAAGGGATAGTTCACCCAGAAATGAACATTTTCTGTTAATTTACACACAACTTCCAAGAGGCAGATCATTTTTTCTTCTTCAGCTGAATATTAAATAAGATTTTAAAATGAAACAGCAGTGATACAGATAATAAAATGTAGAAATAAAAAGATATAAATACATATTTTAACCTGTATAAATTGCCTTATGTATGCATATATATTGTTTTTAAAACCAAGTTTCTACTTTTATTTTGGGGTAAATTATCCCATTAAGGTCGATCTTGTCATGGATTTACTGAAAGCCGAGGAAAATGTGAACTATGCCCCTCAGAAAAATTATGATTTTAATCTTATTTATGTGTTTGCGTTATTGATTAGCCTATTGTTGTTTGCGGTTTCAGTTTTACTGCAAATATCACGGTTAAATACTAAAAACATGGTGTATTTGTGGTTATCATGGCTTAATTACAACTGTAATTGATTATTATTATTATCAATATTTTTTATTTGTAGTAGAATCCATGGTTAATGTTCGTAAAGGAATTTGACGGACAAAGGACTATTACGGTTAAACTATGGTAAATGTACAAAAAACACAGTTAATTTGTGGTTATCATGGTTTAATTAGAACAATAATCGATTATTAATTATTACTATTATTTATTTGTTGTAAAAAAAATGGTTAATGTTTGTGCAGGAATTTACGAACAAAGGACTATCACGGTTAAACTATGGTAAGTGTACTAAAAGCACGGTGTATTTGCGGTTATCATGGTTCAATTACAACAATAATCGATTATCATTATTATTATCCATGGTTAATGTTTGTGAAGACATTTATGAACATTACGAACAAAGAACTATCACGGTTAAACTATAGTAAATGTACCAAAAACACAGTTAATTTGTGGTTATCATGGTTTAATTACAACAGTAATCGATTGTTATTATTGTATTAATATTATTTTACTTGTAGTAAAACCCATGGTTAATGTTCGTAAAGGAATTTCGAACATTTACGAACAAAGGACTATCACGGTTAAACTATGGTAAATTTACTTAAACGCGGCTGATTTGTGGTTATCATGATTTAATTACCACAATAATCGATTAATATTATTATTATTTTCATTTGCAATAAAACCGGTTCTGATCGTAAAGGAATTTACTAACATTTACGAACAAAGGACTACTACAGCTAAGCTATGGTAAATGTGCTAAAACATGACTGATGTGTGGTTATTTCGGTTCAAATACAACAATATCGATTCGATTATTACTATAAATATTATTATTATTATTATTTTCATTTGTAGTCAAATCTATGGTTCATGTTTATAAAGAAATTTTAAACTATAGTATTATAAAAGTATGTACTCCATTAATAACGTTTATATATTATATTTATGCAGGGCTTAACAAGACAGAAACTCAAGTTTGACTTTCAATGTCAATGTACACAAAGTACTGTACGTTCTTTCACTCGTCGTGAGCCAATCAGAGTCGAGCTTCAACATCAAAACAATTCGCGTTTGGTCCAGAACGCATACCGTAGACAGCCTCCAATGACAAACAGAGAACATTATCGGACTTGAGCCATTTAAACACCAAAACAAGACTTTTTGTCACCATTCATGATATCGCTTGGAACGAAGAATATATGTGGAGTATCCAAAAAGCTATTTAGATGACTTAAGAGAAGAAACAATCCGCGGGATGGTGCCGAAAGGATTACCGAAATTCCGGGTTTTCCTGTCACTCAAGCCGTCTGACGTCATCATGTGGGCGGGCTTCCGTTTGCTGTCATCGGAATTCATTATGGATGTGCAATATTTAATGAACGTACAGAGCTTTAAAACGGGTCCTTAAAATGCCAGACGGCCGTGTATTGAATTGTGTGAGGTGCACCTGTATATTTTAATCGTTTTAATGTATTGCGGAGTAATAATTAGCTCAGCGGACATGACTTGGCTAACGTTACTCATGAAGCGGTAGCAGAAGATCTGGTTGCATGTTTTCCTCCTCCTGCAGTCGACTAGGAAGCTGAAGGGTTTCTCTTTCATATAATCGCAAATTCCTTGTCAAGACCATAAACAGAGCATGAGGAGCCGCAGTAATTCAGGAGTGAGGCTGGACGGATTTGCCAGACTTGTCCATGAAACAATATTATGCCACCAGGTTTGTCTATTCTATTCTATTCTATTCTATTCTATTCTATTCTATTCTATTCTATTCTATTCTATTCTATTCTATTCTATAGTGTGTTGTTTGCTATTATTATATTCTGTTCTGTACTGTATATATTGCAATTGTGTTTTGCACAGTTCTGTGTAATATACAGTGCTCAGCATTACTGAGTACACCCCATTTTGAAAATGAATATGTTTATCCATTTCTCAGTTAATATAGGCATGCATTTTAGTGCATTTAAACAAAACAGATTTATTAAACAGATATTTATTAAAATAATATTTTAGTCACCAAACATATTTAGAAATTGAAAGAAAATACAATTAAATTCTAGCAAAATATTGCAAAAGAAAAATCACAAGCTTCAAAGTTTCAACTAAATTTTAAAAATTATTTGCCTCTTGATTTTTCCTCTTTTTTTAAAATTTGTATTTAGTATTTTTTTATAACATATAAGTTTTTGGACTGTTATCAGAAGGTTTTTTTTATTAGATAAGCTCCAGATTTGGCTTCAGTACTGACTAGCCTAATGTATATGCACAAATGTAATATTGTATAGCTTCCTATTAAAAAATATGAACTTAAAAGATATTTGTGAGGGGTGAACTTATTTATGCTGAACACTGTACAGTTGAGGTCAGAATTATTAGCCCCCCTGTTTTTCCCCCCAATTTCTGTTTATTGGAGATTTTTTTCAACAAAATTTTAAACATAATAGTTTTAAAAACTTATCTCTAATAACTGATTTATTTTATTTTTGCCATAATGGCAGTAATTAATATTTGATAATATAAAAAATATTATTAGGCATACTGTAAAAATTTCCTTGCTTTATTAAACATCATTTGTGAAATATTTAAAAAAGGAAAAAAAAATTCAAAGGAGGCTAATAATTCTGATTTCAACTATATAAATATGGCAATAAATAACAAATTATTAGTAATGAATAGGGTTATAATTAACAAAATTCTCTCCATACTTCCAGAGTTGATTGATTACATTATGTTATTTTACAAGCTGTTTAATCACGCAAGTGAGGCATTATTTACTTAAATTTGCACCAGTTTTAATTAATTTATTCATTTTTTTTTGTCTTTGAGTCAAAGTATTTTGCAAAGGGGTTTTAGTTATCAGATGTCAACAGTGAAAAGAAGGTAGAAATGTTATTTATATAATGTTAAAAATATAATTAACCAAATGTTATGTAAAAAAAAAATAATCAAACAAATTATAGATATGAATACATGCCTCTTAAAATCCTCAGATTGTAGATATGAATAAAACAGTTAGGAGATTATTGGCTTAGTGCAGGAGAAAAAATGAGGCCTTTAAAAATGTGTTTTATTATTGAAATCTATGGAAACTAATTGATAAAGTGAAACAAAAGAAACACAGTCTATTTTGCATATTATTATTTTTCCGTTAGACTGAAGAAGAATAAAAGAAAAAATGCTTTATGAAAAGCCAAAAATCTCAAAAGTGACAGGTGCATGGAAAACTGTTTTTGCTTAAAGTCTTGTCTTAATATATTCTGACCATATTCTAATCTGAATGTGAATTATTAAAAGACGTTTAATGTAGAAATCAAAGTGCAGCTCATACAGTAGGCCTGTAGTGTCTTGTGTTTAGGAGCCTGGTGTACTATTGACATTTCTTGACATTGAGTCAAAGTGTTTGCAGAGGGATTTTAGGTATCAGGTGTCAACAGACTGAAAAACACAATTTATGTTTTTCTTTTAGTAGAAAACAAGGTTGTATATAATCAACAAAATTATATATATACAGTTGAAGTCAGAATTATTCGCCCCCCTGTTTATTTTCCCCCAATTTCTGTTTAATGGAGAGAATATCTTTTCAACACATTTCTAAAAAAAATAGTTTTAATAACTCATTTTTAACAACAGATTTATTTTATCTTTGCCATGATGACTGTGAATAATATTTGACTAGATATTTTTCAAGACACTTCTATACAGCTTAAAGTAACATTTAAAGGCTTAACTAGGTTAATTAGGGTAACTAGGCAGGTTAGGGTAATTAGACAAGTGATTGCATAATGATGGGTTGTTCTGTAGACTATCGAAAAAAAATAGCTCAAAGGGGCTTATAATTCTGTCTCTAAAATGGTGTTTAAAAAATGTAAAACTGCTTTCATTCTAGCCAAAATAAAACAAATAAAACTTTCTCCTGAAGAAAAAATATTATCAGACATACTGTGAACATTTTCTTGCTGTTAAACATAATTTGGGAAATATTTAAAAAAGAATTAAAAATTCAAAGGGGGGCTAATAATTCTGACTTCAACTGTATATGAACACATCGCTGATAACATCCTCAGATTGCAGATATGAATAAACTGTTTAGTGTGTGTGAGAGCAGCTTACGTGGAGATTATTGGCTCAGTGCTGGAGACAAAAAATTAAGAAAAGGCCTTTAAAAATGTGTTTTATAATTGAAATCTATGGAAATGAATTGATAATGTGAGACAAAAGACAAAATGATTAAAATTGTATTTTGCATGTTATTATTATCTATTAGATCGAAAAAAGAAAGAAGAAGTAACGTTCTTTGAAAAGCCAAAATCCCAAAACTAACAGGTGCATGAAAAAACAGTTTTTACTTAAAGTCTTGCATTAATATATTCGGACCATATTCTATTCTCTTCTGAACTATCTATATTGTTCACTAATATGTGAATTATTCAAAGACTTTTAATGTGGAAATCAATGTGCAGCCCAAATATAAACATACAGTAGGCCTGTGTAGTTCCTTGTGTTTGAGAGCCTTCTGTACCACTGACATTTCTTGACATTGAGTCAAAGTGTTTGCAGAGGATATTTTAGGTATCAGGTGTCAACAGAATGAAAAAAAAACAATTCACGTTTTTCATTTAGCAGAAAACAATGTTGTATATAATGTTGAACACATCGCTGCTAACATCCTCAGATTGCAGATATGAATAAACTGGTGTGTGTGAGAGCAGCTCACTTGGAGATTATTGGCTCAGCGCAGGAGACAAACTAAATGGGAAAAGGTCTTTAAAAATGTGTTTTATAATTGAAATCTACAGAAACAAATTGATAAAGTGAGACAAAAGAAACACTTAAAGTGTATTAAGCATGTTATTAATTTTCCTTTAGACTGAAGAAGAAAAGAAAATGAAAAAATGCTCAATGAAAAGCTAAAATGCCCCAAATCCCATAACTGGCAGGTGCATGAAGAAAGTCTTAATATATTCTGATCATATTTGATTATACTTCGAGCAATCTATATCGTTTATTAAAATGTGAATTTTTAAAAAGACTTTTAATGTGGAAATTAAAGTGCAGCTCAAATATGAACATACTGTAGGCCAGTGTAGTTTCTTATGTTTGAGAGCCTTCTGTACCATTGAGGTCATTCTCACTGGAGGAATCTAAAAATAAATAAGGCTCGCCTTGAACAAAGGTCACCTTTAAATAACCCATGACTGGGAAAAATATTTGTATTATCAGTAACACTTCAAAATATTGCTCTGCTGGTAAATCTAAATATATTTATTATGACTTATGAACAGTCCTGCACAACATTTATTAATCATAGTTCAACATTTATTAATGCAATATTAAAATTCTAAGTTGTGTTTGTTATTATTAGTTAATGCACAGTGATTTAATAAGAACTATTAATAGACAACTGTATTTTTAATAACTAGCATTAACAAAGATGAATGAATATTGTAAAAAATGTATTGCTTATAAACATGAGCTAACATTACCATCATTTTAAAGTGTTACAGTATTATCTAGTACATGCAGATTCTTTAAAAGTAGAACTGAAGCACAACACAAGAAACTTAATAATAATAAGTGATCATTATTGTTATAAGTGTTTAATTGAGTATTATTACATAACTTTACTTTCATAGCTACAGTGCTTAAAATACCAGCAAACTCTCACTGACTGATACTCATTAAATTGTTTAAAATAATTAGGTAACCATGCAGCAGTTTATTATATTTTAAATGATTAAATGAACTTCTTGTTGTCTAATGTGCATTGACCCAGTAAACAAATAAACTTAAGTAAAGTAAAATGAGTGGAAAAATAGGTAAAATGTCAAAAGATTTAAAATAACAATACATTTGTATTTAAAATTTACAATATATCCTTAAATACAGTAGAATCTTTTAATATGTTATCAAATGGGCAGCACGGTAGTGCAGTGGGTAGTGCTGTCACCTCACAGCAACAAGGTTGCTGGTTTGAGCCCTGGCTGGGTCAGTTGGCGTTTCTGTGTAGTTTGCATGTTCTCACTATGGTCGTGTGTTTCCTCCGGGTGCTCCAGTTTCCCAATAGTCCAAACACATGCGCTATAGGTGAATTGGGTATGCTAAACTGTCCTTAGTGTATGTGTGAATGAGAGTGTGTGGGTTTTTCCCAGTACTGGGTTGCAGCTGGAAGGGCATTCCATAAATAAGGGACTAAACCGAAGGTAAATGGATGAATGAGTACATCAGTTCATTAATTCATTCACTTTCTTGTCAGCTTAGTCCCTTTATTAATCCGGGGTTGCCACAGCGGATTGAACCGCCAACTTATCCAGCACATGTTTAACACAGCGGATGCCTTTCCAGCTGCAACCCATCTCTTAGAAACATCTATACACACTCATTCACACTCATACACTATGGACAATTTAGCCTACCCAATTCACCTGTACCGCATGTCTTGGACTGTGGGGGAAACCGGAGCACCTGGAGGAAACCCACGCCAATGCTGGGAGAACATGCAAACTCCACACAGAAATGCCAACTGACTGATTAATTATACGTCTTGTATTATTGGCAAAGTACACTGAAAACCTTAATAAGTTGACTGAACGAAAATAAATGAACTCAAATTAATTGAGTAATGGAGTCTCCCAAAACTTGTATATTTAAGTTTATTTAACTTGCCGGTTTGGTTATACTTAAATTGTTCAGTTCAGTGTGTGTCTGTGTGTGTTTATAAACTATGAGAAAAATGTTTAAAAGAAAAATAAGCAGCCATTTATTCCCATAATGGTGATTAATTATACATGAAGCTTTGTTTTCTGATTACAGAAAAGACCTTGCACTAAAAGGTTGCACATATAAAAAATTTACAGTCGTCGACGCAATAGCCTAATGGTTAGCGCGTCGACATATGGTGCAGTAGCACGTCAGGGCGTCCCGAGATCGAATCCCTGCTCGAGTACAATGCCATACCCTAACCCTCCTCTGTCTCCAACTTTGCTTCCTGTCTAAATACTGTCCTTTCTAATAAAGGCAAAAAGGCCAAAAATAAATCTTTAAACAAAAAAATATATAATTTTACAGTTAAGACTACATTAAAAACGACCTTTTTCTTCAAAGGATTAATTGTGATTTTGAGCTCACTATACTTGAAAACTTAAGTTTATGCATTTTCATTGTATACAAGTTAAATTAACTCATATTTTTAGGTGACAGGACCAAAATGCTAAATCTTAAGTTCATGTTCAGTACACTTCACTTGATTGTTTAAGTAAAGACAACATTAGGGTGTACAATGTAGAAAGATTTAAAATAGCGATGAATTTGTATTTTATATTTACAAGATATCCCTAAATAGAATCTTTTAATGTTATCAAATTATTCTTTATCTGAAGATGACAAACTTTGTGTATTGATGAAATTAAATATTTGTATAACCCCTTATACTGAATGGGCGTTTTCAATCAGTGTCTCCTGTAAAAATCATGGTAAGTAAATAAATAGAACATCCTATTTTACATTTGATTTGTATTATATTGCTGCTCCTTATTGTGTTTGGCCTTTGAATAAAGGCTTTATGATTTACCACAACAATTCAGTTTGAGTTTGTATTTCATTAAATGGTGTATACAGTATAATACAGTATAATCGATACGATACGATACGATATGGCACTTTATTGCCAGAGAGGACTGAATTTTTTCTTGTGTAACAGTATCTGTGCAAACGGTGATCAACAATACATCCACTTCAAGCAAAAAACACTTCAGTAAAACATTCACTAAACTTCAGTCATAAGCGAGACATAAGTGTAATCCACCTAAAAAGGCACTACATTCAGCAAGAAATTCAAAATAAATATTAAATATTTACAGTGCATCAGTTTTCATTATAGCTGTTCATTCAACTCTATGGTTGCTTGATGGACAAAAGAGTGTTTTAGCTTTACCCTGGTGAATATTTGAATTGTATCATTAATAAAGGTGTGTTTGATGTTCTCCATGTAGAATCCAGTGACGGGTCTACTGCCGGCCAGCGAGCAGCAGAAGGATGCCTGGGTCAGGGATAACGTGTACAGCATTTTGGCAGTGTGGGGACTTGGGATGGCTTACCGCAAGAATGCAGACCGTGATGAGGATAAAGCCAAAGCCTATGAGCTTGAACAGGTGACAGAAATTTCAGAACGTCAACATCTGCTGTGTCATTGTTCAGGAGTTATTGTACTACAGTATTGTATACACTGCTGTTGCTCGATGATTACTTATACAGTATACTGTGTAAACAGTATACTGATTGCAATATATGCAGTTTATATATGATGCATGGAAAATATATCTTTTTTTATTCTCACCAAGATTGCTTCGACACTGCCTGGTAAATGGTTGAAAATGTTAATATTTTTCTATTTAATTATTCAATTCAATTTATCTTTATTTCTGTAGCGCTTTTACAATGTAGATTGTGTCAAAGCAGCTTAACATACAGTAGAGGACTCTTCTGCTCACCAAGAGTATATGATGAAAAGTATAATAAAAACAGTAATATTTGTGAAAATAAATGTATAAATATAGTGTAGATATATTTTTAAAAATGTATATTTCTGTAACGAAAGCTGAATTTCAGGACATTTTCAGCTTATAATTGAAATAGTTATTCTATTCTGAAAATACTTTCATTAATTAGGACACATTAAATTAATCAAAAGTGAAATTAAAGGCTTTTTTAAAGTTGCAATCGTTTTTATGTAATATAAATGGTGTTATTTTGAACTTTGCATTCATCAAATGATCCTATTTTTTTATTTTAGAAATATGTGTTTTGATATAAAACTACTGTTGATATAATAATACATGAATGTACACTACCTGACAAAAGTCTGACAATCCCAGTTGTCAGAGCAACAAATAATAACTTGACTTCAAGTTGATCATTTGGAAAAGTAGCATAAGGTTGATTTTTTCTGATGAATCATCTGTTGAACTGCACCCCGATCGTCACAAATTCTGCAGAAGACCTATTTGAATCCACATGTAACCAAGATTCTTTACAGAAATCAGTCATGTTTGGTGAAGGAAAAATCATGGTTTAGGGTTGCATTCTGTATGGGGGCGAGCAAGAGATCTGCAGAGTGGATGTCAACATCAACAGCCTGAGGTATCAAGACATTTGTGCTGCCCATTACATTACAAACCACAGGAGAGGGCAAACTCTTTAACGCTCCTTTTCATACTTCAGCCTCCACATCAAAGTTCCTGAAAGCAAAGAAGGTCAAGGTGCTCCAGGATTGACCAGCCTAGTCACCAGGCATATACAGTATTGAGCATGTCTGGTGTAAGATGGAGGAGGCATTGAAGATGAATCCAAAGAATCTTGATGAGCTCTGCAAGAAGGCTTTGTTTGCCGTTCCAGATGACTATTAATAAGTGATTTGAGACATTGCAGAGATGTATGGATGCAGTCCTCTAAGCTCATGGGAGTCATACACAACATTAATTCTTTTTCTACTGCACCATGACTTTATATTCTATACTGGACATTCATTCTGTTAGGTGACAAGACTTTCTGTCTTTGCTTAGACTTTTGTTTAAGCAAAGTCAGACCTTACTGTCCTAATTAAATAATTAAAAATCAAGGCATGACAGGGTGTCCGCTTAAATTTCAAAATGAAAATGTTAGGCCTTAAAAAGTCTTAATTTCACTGAAATATGGTGTTGTAGGTCTTAAATCATTTTATGCAGGTCTTAGTTTTCCTATGTCCATGTAAAGCTACCCAATCAAACTCATTCAATCACTAACATTCCATCTCAATAAAAGTTTTACTAAAAGTTTATTTATTAACTCTTATTTATTAACTCTATTTCTGTTTTAACTAGGCCATTAGAAAAAAAATCCTTAGCGTTTAGGCTTGATTAACTCTAAAATTTCAATCATAATGGTTTTAGAAATGTCTTAAAAAGTTTTAAATTTGACTTCAAGAGTTCCCACTTAGATATGCTTGGCATTTATAGCAGGTTTGGCAAGCTGTCCCGGGAGAGAACCCTGAGCTCGGAGATATTTGAGCCCAGGGCTCCCGCCCGGTCTAGAAGCATATCAGGGGATCCGAGATCAGGTAGGTCTCGATCGCTCACCCTTTAGAAGGAGAGAAAAAGGAGGAGATGGGGTGGAAGGGGGGATTCTTCCAAAAAGAAAAAGAGCAATAAGGAGAAAGTGATCCATTTATATTAAGCTAGGATCATTCTGATTGGATTATTACTGATTACGGATGAGTGGCCAGCAGTGCACAATCATATCACGTGCTCCTCTCGAAATTACTTTGTAAAACTTCACTTGATGAAACCAGGAGAAACCCTGCATGATCACATTTCATTTTGGTAAAATAAGCGTAATCTAGAGGCTTCTGCCTTTCATGTAAGCCACTTCTGATAACAATTGATCAACTAGAAGTCAAGTTATTATTTGTTGTTCCTAAAACTTGGATAGGCGACAAGATTTTTTGTCAGGTGGTGTATATATTGAACTGTTATTGATACCACTGTGTTTCTTTTTTTTCCAGAGTGTGGTTAAGCTAATGCAAGGTCTGCTGCAGTGTATGATGAGACAGGTACAGCATTTAACGATTGCTCATTTGTTATTTTAAACACATACATCCAGGGCCGGTGCAGGCAGAACTGGCGCTCTAGGCAAAGGACGATCATGCCACCCTCAACCAGAAAGTAAAAACGAAAGTGACCGGTTCACAAATTGAAGCCCGGGGGTGGATGGGAATGTGGGAGGTGGTGTCACAGATGAAAGTGTGGGGGGTGGGGGGTCTCGCGGACTGTGCGCGTAGGTCGCCTCTATGGACGCCCCGGCCCTGCGTTAATTTATTCCAATCTAATTCCAGTCTCATGGCAAAACAAAACTATTTCATGTTTCACAAGTGGCTAACAAATTAATTTTCAAAACCTATTAATTGAAAGAAAATGTGTGATTTTTAGATATATTACGAGCATATCGTAAATAGCATACAATCACATGAATTCATACAAATAAGCCACTAATTTACCACAATATGAAATAGATACAATTTGCCACAAGATTGGTTGATTCTTTGTTGAACACAAGTCTGCACACACCTGAGCACACACACACACACACACTCTGTCTTGCTTGGCTAAACACGTCAATGTAACTGCAGGTGGAGAAGGTAGAGAAGTTCAAACACACACAGAGCACAAAGGACTGCCTGCATGCCAAATATCACACACCTACCTGTGCCACAGTGGTCGGAGATGACCAATGGGGGCACCTGCAGGTCGATGCCACCTCACTCTACCTGCTCACACTGGCCCAGATGACTGCCTCAGGTGAGAGCAACAGTCTGTAGTGGATAGTTCATCCGAAAATGAAAACTCAACCACTTACTTGCAAACCCTGTAGGATGTTTCAATTTTTGTGGGATGCAAAAGAAAATATTTTGAGAATTTTATTATTATATTAACTCTTGGACTGTGTTTAATCCGAAGATTTGATGACAAATTTGGGGGAATTTTATCATGTATTTAATTTAATTTAATTTAATTTAATTTAATTTAATTTAATTTAATTTAATTTAATTTAATTTAATTTAATTTAATTTAATTTATTTTATTTTATTTAACTTAATTTTATTTTATTTTATTTAACTTATTTTTATTTCATTTTATTTTATTTTATTTTATTTTATTTTAGTTCATTATTTTTTATTTCATTTTATTTTATCAGAAAATATTTTAGGTTTTATAATATGTTAATTTAATTTAATTTAATTTAATTTAATTTAATTTAATTTAATTTAATTTAATTTAATTTTATTTTATTTTATTTTAGTTACATTTTTTTATTTCATTTTATTTTATCAGAAAATATTTTAGGTTTTAAAATATATTAATTTATTTAATTTAACTTAATTTAATGTAATTTAATTTAATTTAATTTAATTATTATTTTTAATTTAATTTAATTTAATTTTATTTTATTTCAAAATCTTTTTTTCTTTATTTTGTGTTATGTAACTTATACATAAAAGTAAGATGATGTCAGATATTTTCTTTTTTATTTCAGTAGTTTATCGAATAAAACAAAAATAATTTTACTCAAATGCAAATCTATACATTAAATCCAGAGAAATTGAGAATTTCCAAATGGAGTCTTATCGTTACAATGTGTTTAACAAACCCATTATACAGATTTCCTCATAATAAAATAGAGCAGGACATGAAAAAAAGTTTGCAGAATCTGTGTAGGGCTATACATAACTTATAGATACGACTCAAAATTGATTCTATTTGATTCCATTGTGTTCTTAATTTAAGCCTCTGTTGGCTTCATATATCTGCTTTCATATTTTTAGCATCCGTTTGTCATTGTCCCTGATATCAAACCACAGGTCTGCACATCATATCAAACTTAGACGAGGTGGCTTTCATCCAGAACCTGGTGTTCTACATCGAAGCAGCGTACAAAGTGGCTGTGAGTTCACATTGGTTCATCGAGTTCTTAGATACCATAGTTGTCCAACTGGCATCACAGGCCTGTTCACACTTTCTAACAGGATTATGGGATGTGGGAGCGAGGAGACAAGACCAATCAAGGCATTCCTGAACTGAATGGCAGCTCCGTCGGAATGGCAAAGGTACAGCAGGAGAGTCGTCAATCCTTGTTAAGTCTGTCTGCTTCTTCAGATGCTGATTTGTGTTTCATCTTCGTGTTCTAGGCAGCTTTGGAGGCCATAGATGAGCTTGATTTGTTTGGAGCTCATGGAGGTCCAAAATCAGTGATTCACGTTCTCCCAGATGAAGTAGAACATTGTCAGGTACATAAATATATACACTACCTGACAAAAGTCTTGGCGCCTATTCAAGTTTTACGAACAACAAATAATAACTTGACTTATAGTTGATCATTTGGTGTCAGAAGTGGCTTTTATGAAAGGCAAAGCACTATAAATTGCGCTTGCTTTACCAATATAAAATATGATCATGCCTTAATTTTTTTATTATTTAATTAGGACAATAAGGTCTGACTTTGCATAGACAAAAGTCTTGTCACTTAACAGAAATAATGTACAGTATAGAATGTAAAGTCATGGTGCAGTGGAATAAGAATGAATATTGTGTATGACTCCCATGAGCTTGGAGGACTGCATCCATACATCTCTGCAATGACTCAAATCACTTATTAATAAAGTCGTCTGGAATGGCAAAGAAAGTGTTCCTGCAGGACTCCCAGAGTTCATTAAGATCCTTTGGATTCGTCTTCAATGCCTCCTTCATCTTAACCCAGACATGCTCAATAATCTTTAAATCTGGTGACTGGGCTGGCCAATCCTATCCAGAAACTTTGATGTGGAGGCTAAAGTATGATAAGGAGCGCTATACTGCTGAAGAATTTGCGTTCTCCTGTGGTTTGTAATGTAATGGACAGCACAATTGATACATCAGGCTGTTGATGTTAACATCCACTCTGCAGATCTCTCACACACCCCCATACTGAATGTAACCCCAAACCATGACTTTTCCTTTACTAAACTTGACTGATTTATGTAAGGAATCTTGGGCCCATGCGGGTTCCAGCAGGTCTTCTGCAGTATTTGTGATGATTGGGATGCAGTTCACACTTTTCAAATGATCCACTAGAAGTCAAGTTATTATCTGTTGCTCTTAAAACTGGGATCGATGACAAGACTTTTGTCAGGTCGTGTACAGAAAAGGGTTACACTAAGTAGATCAATATAAACCATTGGTAAGATGCATTTTTGTTTTCGTATGATCATTAAGGGAACTAGGGCTGCACAATATACCATCAAAATATCGTCATCGTCATAATAGTAAATGCAATATACTGTAAGTATCGCAGATGTATAATAAATTACATTTATTTTATGCATTGGTTGACCAAATATTTGACCAATCAAAAGGCACCTTACTCTTTAAAAGGCCCCATAAAATTTAGTATTTCAGTATTGTTAATTAAGATATCTATAAGCTAGTGTGCTTCAAAACAGTGACAAAATTTGTGTTTATAAGATATAAAACTGATATAAATATTTAAAGCTTGTAGTTTGTGAGTTCCACCTAAATGGATGAATGGTTTTATTCACGTCACCTCATAATTCAGTTTCCAATCAAATGCTCTATATATCTGACATGCCCCGCCCCTTTCAAGATGCTTCTCATTTGCTCTTCATTTGATGCACTTGATCTCAACCACTCTTAACAAAACGCTATAGGCTGTTTTTTTTTAAAAAGGAGAGGAGTTACACTATGTCCCACCATTTCGGTTGATATTATGTCAAACATTGATTAAAACGCATAATATAAAGCACTTATATAAACAGGACCTTAAATGCCCACTTTCCTGTAGTTGCTGTTCTGCTATTGGGTGGAGTGGCCCAAAGGTGAATCCAGAGCTGAAAGTAAACACTAACGGTGCTTTTCCTATATATCCTCAAATCTGCGCTCAGTGGCCACTGCTTTGAGGCATGTAAAATGTACCTACATCGGCTGGTCTCAACGCTTTCAATCCCATAATTCACTGCCTGGGCGTTTCATTTATGCTTTACTTTCATATAAATGAACTGAAACCGCTTACTATGCTGTGCTCCTAAGAAGGAAAATGATAACAGTCAATCAGACTCTGAGGTTTTCACACATTCACAGTTTTAAAGACTAAATGTTTGCCCCTTGACTGTTTTTTTTTTTACTGTAAATTAAAATAACTTGGATCTGAAAGTATATATTTGAGCATTTGATTGTAATATCATTACATAAATAAATTGAAACACATAGATAATAAAAAAAAATAGCATTTTCTGTACTATCAGGGTCAAACATCTTGCTTCTCTTTGTGCTTCTAGTCTATCTTGTGCTCCATGCTTCCTCGAGCCTCTACCTCTAAAGAGATTGATGCTGGTCTGCTCTCTGTCATCTCATTTCCTGCCTTTGCTGTGGAGGATGCGGATCTGGTCAACATCACCAAGGCCGAAATCATCACCAAGCTGCAGGTCTGTGACGTTACGAAAAAATCTATGGCTATCAATCAATCTCAAGTGCTGCAGTGGAGGTTGCTTCAGCATTTTTACTCAAGAATGAGTCTCAGTTTTAGGATCAGTTTATAATAAGCCTCATTTTTTAGCAATGCTTTTTGGTGAGGGGTTCATGCCTTGGCAAGTATATCACATACTCTACAGGTCAAATGTTTGGGGTCAGTAGGATTTTTAAATGTTTTAAAATAAGTTTATCCTGCTCACCAAAGCGGCAATTATTAAAAATACAGTATAAATTGTAAAATTGTGAAATGTTATTGCACTATAAAGTAACTTCAAAAGTAGTTTAGAATTTAATTAAATTATTTATTCCAATCATTTTAAAGATGAATTTTCAGCTTCATTACTCCAGTCTTCAAAGTCACACGATCCTTCAGAAATCACTCTAATATTTATTATTATTATTATTATTAATAGTAATAAAAGCAATAATGACTAGACTGAAAATCTCATTTAAAAATGCACACAATAAGTAATAAATATTTAATAAAAAAACTATTTAACAATTATGAACAGAATAATTACATTTAAAAAAAGAAAACATGAAAAAACAACAACCCCAATCTTTTGACCGGTAGTGTATGTGGTAAAACACGTAAATATTCTTAAAGGTTTAAAATTCTTTTCATTCATTCATTCATTCATTCATTCGTGTTCTTTTCGGCTTAGTCCCTTTATTAATCCGGGGTCGTCACAGCAGAATGAACCGCCAACTTATCCAACACGTTTCATGCAGCGGATGCCCTTCCAGCTGCAACCCATCCCTGGGAAACATTCATACACACCCATTCACACTCATACACTACATACAATTTAGCCTACCCAATTCACTTGTACCACATGGACTGTGGGGGAAACCGGAGCACCCCGAGGAAACCCACACGAACACAGGGAGAACATGCAAACTCCACACAGAAACGCCAACTGACCCAGCCGAGGCTCGAACCAGCGACCTTCTTGCTGTGAGGTGACAGCACTTCCTACTGCGTCACTGCGTCACCTAAAAAAATCAAATAGAGTGCAATTTAGTATGTTTTAACTACGGTAAGGGAAAAACACAAATCACCAAGCAATTCCAATTTTTTTTGACTCATCATTAATGATGCAGACAAATATTGTATTATCCAAATAAAAGTATAGCTCACCCAAAAACGAAGATTTCCTCACCATTTAATCACACTCAGGGGTTATTATTCTGATATTCAGATGAATGTGAAAGTCAATGGCTGATTATTCCCAAGCATTCTTCAAAATATCTCCCTTTGTATTCAATAGAAGAAAGAAAGTCAAATAGATTTGGAACAAGGAGAGGATCAGTAAATGAGACAGAATTTTCATTTTTGTGGTGATATGTCCCCTGAAGACCAGCATGTTTTTTAAAGAGCTCCTAAATTGATTTTAGGATTGTAAAACAATGAGATGGGAGAAAGATTATTTCTATGTTGTTGCTTTTTCTAAGAAAAAAAATTTTATTCACTCACTAAACCTTTGTTCTCCTGCAGAAACTTTGATTTTGTTGACAAAACCTTTGAAGTAAAAAAAGTGTGAGTTGAGTTCTCTATAGTTGCAACATAGGCTCATTCTGATAACGTAGCTCTATATAAATTTCTGGGGATTCTGAATTATGTAGCCAAAGCTGCATACTCTATGGTTGCATTTCGTCTTTAAGACGAACACCACAGGGCGGTATGACGCCGCCAATAGCTGCTGTTTGTTTTCACGTTACCAGCTGACCGCTTGCCTCCATATGGATGGCTTTCTTGCTGTTACCAGTTTGTCCAATGGCTCGCTGTATGTGTCGGCGGACTTGAGACCCAGAGAGGAGTTAACTGTGAGTCTGCGACAACAGGGTTCAAGTCCGGTGAAGAACTGTTCCAGAAAGCAGGTAAGACAAAAACAAAAGCCAAAATATGAGGATGAGAATGTGTTGAATCTAAAAAACAAGGTAAAAAATACGCGAGGGCTATTCTTTTTGGATTGCTTTTGAAAACACTATTGGTTGGGTTTAGGGAAGGGGGTTAGAGGGGGGTTTGGTGAGTTGGATGGTCAGTCAGTCGACTGCGACCTCTGGTAGATTTACAGGAGAAGAACAGACACGAATGGCACTCGATGTCAAAAAGCAAACACAGCGGCCTCTGGTGGATTAACAAAAACAAAAACTGCAAAACACTGTACCTCCTGGGATGTATTTTGCCATCACCAAAAATGTATATAGGGCTACGTTTTCAGAATGAGCCTGTGTTGCATATTTCAATGTTTATTTTTTTTTTTTAAAGTAAAAACACTTTTATGAGGGAACAAAAAAAATTGCCGGAATACATGAGGTTTTTTAAATAAACACAATTATTTTGTGAGGAAGCATTAAAATATAAATTTCCCATCTCATGTCCTCTTAGCATCTCTGCAGTTCCCTTCTGTGGTTGCTAGTTTTATTGCAAGTTTAATCATCGATTTCAATTATTTTAGGGACGTTATGGCTGTTGTCGATTTATCCGAGATGGATACAGGACTCCAAAAGAGGTAACCAGATATAACTTGAATTTACACACACACACAAAGTAATAATAAATTGGCAATAATAAGTAATAATTATTTTGTGACCAGTTCTCTGTCTGCTTTTTCATTTCATGTTTATAACAGGACCCTACTCGACTTCACTATGACCCTGCCGAGCTGAAGCTCTTTGAGAACATTGAATGTGAATGGCCAGTGTTTTGGACTTATCTAATACTCGATGGCATCTTCAATGCAGATCATGAACAGGTATGAAAATAATCATCTGTATACTCTGAAAGCATCTGCAGTACATCTGAGGGGAAAAATTATGGGATATTTCCCCCCAAAAATGAAAATTTGAGTATATTAGTAAATTTTTGGGTGAACTATCTTTTATCTCCAGATGGAGGCAGTGTAGCAATGATTGATGGCTGTGCTGTTCCTCATAGGTGGAGGAATACAGAGAGGCTCTGGATGGGGTTTTGATCAGGGGCAAACATGGTATCCGTCTGGTGCCTGAACTCTACGCTGTACCTGCTGACAAAGTGAGTTTAACTTTTTAAACTAGCACAGGAACTCCTTTTATATTTAATTACATGCAATGGTATTGTAATAGGTTCACAATAAAGTGAGCGAGATTGAATTAAAGTGCTGATTTGAGGGAACAACATGAAAAAAAGGACTGGATGTTTGGAGTCTGATCAGTGACTGTGACATAAAGCATCCTGGTTAAACTTTGCCATGTTTTGCTCCTCTGTGTTTGTTTGCGGTTCAGGTTGAGGAGGAGTACAGGAACCCTCATTCGGTGGAGCGTGTGGCTTTTGGGCAGCTTCCACACATGTGGGGTCAGTCTCTGTATATACTGGGCAGTCTCCTGACTGAGGTAATGAAGCATCATGTTTTTGTTGATTAAGTGCAAATGTGAATTGTCAAAGATTTCTTCTTCAGTCTTTTGCTTTGATGATTATGCAGTTTTTTATTGGACGCGTCATTGGACATTTTTTATTTTCATTCAGGGATTTCTGGCCCCTGGTGAAATTGATCCACTTAATAGGCGGTTTTCTAAAGAATTCAAGCCTGATGTTGTTGTGCAAGGTTTGTGTTTTATTATATTTGTATTAGATTTATATTATACACTCACCGGCCACTTTATTAGGTACACCTGTCCAACAGCTCGTTAATGTAAATTTCTAATCAGCCAATCACATGACAGCATGAAGACATGGTCAAGACATTCTGCTGCAGTTTAAACCGAGCATTGGAATAGGGAAGAAAGATAATATAAGTGACTTTGAACGTGGTGTGGTTGTTGTTGCTAGACGAGCTGGTCTGAGTATTTCAGAAACTGCTCATCTACTGGAATTTTCACACAGAACAATCTGTAGGGCTTACAGAGAATGGTCCACAAAGTGAGAAAATATCTAGTGAGTGGCAGTTCAGTGGGCACAAATGTCTTGTTGATGCCAGAGGTCAGAGGAGAATGGCCAGACAGAAAGGCAACAGTACCTCAAATAACTACTCGCTACAATCGAGGTATGTAGAAGAGCATCTCTGAATGCACAACATGTCGAACCTTGAGGCGGATGGACTACAGCAGCAGAAGACCACACCAGGTGCCAATCCTGTCACCTAAAAACAGGAAACTGAGGCTATAATTAACACAGGCTCACCAAAATTGGACAATAGAAGATTGGAAAAACATTGCCTGGTCTGATGTGTCTCAATTTCTGCTGCGACATTCGGATGGTAATAACATGGATCCATCCTGCCTTGTATCAGTGGTTCAGACTGGTGGTGGTGGGTTATATTTTCTTGGCACACTTTGGGCCTATTAGTACCAATTGAGCATTGTGTCAACGCCACAGCCTACCTTTGTATTGTTGCTGACCATGTCCATCCTTTTATGACCACAGTGTACCCATCTTCTGATAACTACTTCCAGCAGTATAACACACCATGTCATAAAGTGTGAATCATCTCAGTCTGGTTTCTTGAACATGACAATGAGTTCACTGTACTCAAATGGGCTCCACAGTCACCAGAGCTCAATAAAATAGAGCACCTTTGGGATGTGCTGGAATGGGAGATTCACATCTGCAGCAACTGCGTGATGCTATCATGTCAATATGGACCAAAATCTCTGAGGAATATTTCCAGTACCATGTTGAGTCTTTGCTACAAAGGATTAAGGCAGTTCTAAAGGCAAAAGCGGGTTCAACCTGGTACTAGTAAGGTGTACCTAATAAAGTGGCCAGTGAGTGTAAATCATTGCTTTAACTGTTGCTATTTTTTATTTGTTTGTAAAGCCCTCATACTGTACAGACACATGGCTTTTTGTAAAATATTTAAAACTATTTCATTATTTCATTTAATGTTTAATTTACAGCAGTTTTTGTTAGAGTTTTTACTCTGAAAATACTAGTAAATGTCTATTTAAATTTAATTATAAAAAAAATACTTGGAGGGGAAACAATATTGCAAATGTATGCAAATCTATCACAATGTAGAAACGACCCAGCTGGTTGCTTTGCTCTGAAGTCCATTTAAGGTTCATTACTTGAAACTCAATTTTGAATTGAATCTTGCCACTATAATTTGCTGCACAGAGAAAGCTGATCTTTTGCCAGCGGCTGTATTTGTTCTGTTTAGTGAGTGTAGTGGCTGAGTCAGTGCAGATCCAGCAGCTGCTGAGGGATCATGGGATTGAGGTTCAGACCGTCTCTGATGTATCGCCCATCCGGGTTATGCCAGCTCGCATCCTGAGCCACATTTATGTGAAACTGGGTGAGTGTTCAGATCCAGATGGCGTAAATGAGGATATCTGTGAAATTTAGACTCAATTTCCTTTTTGCTTTTCACAGGAAACTGTAAAAAACTCAACTTGAGTGGACGACCGTACAGGCACATTGGCGTTCTGGGAACTTCAAAGTTTTATGAGATCAGAAATGGCACTTACACTTTTACTCCACAGGTAAGTGAAATTTCTGCCTTGAAACTCTTTAGAAAGAAAATATTATCTACATGGCACAGGAGATTGGTTGCTGTCTCCTCGGCAGCCAATGAGCTTGAACTTCATGGGTGCATGCTCCACGTCATTTTAAGCTGTCAAGCTACAGCGCGTTTTTGAAGACCCTCCTCCACCCCAGCTCCACCTGTGTTTAGATACTGCTTACATGTATACTATGTTTGCAGCAGGAGCGTGTTATATTTTTTAGACGGCATGTCTGTGTGTATACTGGCAGTAGCAGGTCTCAGTACTTCCTCTGCCATAATTATCAAAGCAGCAGCAGTGTAGCAGGTCTATACCGCTAAGACAAAATACATCAACACTGCCATATACATAATAATTATACTAAATCCTGGGATCCTGGGACACTAATCCTATTAGTGTTCATGAAAATTACATCAAATGACAGGAAGTTCATTACAGAGTTAAAACTAATTTACTAACCGTCTGATCATCTAAAGTGACTTTTTATCTTCAGTTAAACATTAGAGAAACAAAACGATCATAAACAGCAATACACTCATCAAGCATTTTTGTTTTTAAAAGATGTCTAATAGATGTCAAAAAGACATCTAAATATAGTCCTCTTTGCTAGAACAAGGATAAAATTGGGCTGTAAGTGAAAATATAATAGACATTTAAGAAAAGGCCAAAACTAGACTAGTCATCAAATAGACAGAATTGAATGACTACAGGTATAAAGTCTGTCTACTCTGTCTATTTGACGACTAGTCTAGTTTTGGGCTATTCTTAGATGTCTATTAAATTTTCACTGACAGCCCAAGTTTAGCTTTGTTTTGGCCAAGCTGTCTACGTTTAGATGTCTAGTAGACGTTTGGCAAGTTATTGTATAACGATGGTTTGTTTTGTAGACTATCTAATAAAAAATAGCTTAAAGGGGCTAATAATAATTTAAAAAACTGCTTTTATTCTAGCCGAAATAAAACAAATAAGACATTCTGCAGAAGAAAAAATATTATCATACTGTGAAAATTTCCTTGCTCTGTTAAGCATCATTTGACGACTAGTCTCCTCTTCTGTCTATTTGACGACTAGTCTAAATTTTCACTGACAGCCCAAGTTTAGTCTTGTTTTGGCCAAGCTGTCTATGTTTAGATGTCTTTTAGATGCCTCTATCAAACACAAAACTGTTTGCTGGGCATTATCCATCCAACTTTAAAGATTAAAAGTCTTTAATAATTAGGGGTCTGTATATTAGAGTTATTATTTTCATAATTGTTTGGTTGTAAATCTTGTTCTGAGCACTGAAGGGGGTATGAATTTTTGGCTTTAAATATTGTAGGGATTCAATCTTTTTTGAAGATCTGATTTTGATGCCTAAAAAATCATCAAAAATCAAAAAGCACTTTCAAATAACACATAAATTATTGAAACAAAAATAAAACAGTAAATCAAAAATCTTACAAACAGTTCTTCTCACTCTAAAAAAATAGTTTGAACTCATATTTGTGCATATAACCAGTGTCAAGTGACATATTGTTGTAAATGAGGGCGATGCCAACCCTCTTGTGCACCACCAGAGGGAACCATCGCCAGAATTCTGATTCGACTCACGGACTCAAAATCCCATAAGCCCTGCTACCTGGCACTGATTACGGTCCAGGTGCAACTCATCAGCTCTCGTGTATATATACCACACTCACGCTCCGGTTCGTTGCGAAGTCTTGATTTGCCTGGCTGTCATTTCTGAGCGTTCCATACTCCCTGCTTCGGACTGATCTGTGTTTCTGACCCTGTGCTCGCCCTACGATTACGAAAGACATCTGCCTGCCCCTGATCTCCAGCCTGTGATTCTGACCAGTAAGATATCTGCCTGCCTTTGAACTTTTGCCTGTCCCACGTTCTGTCTCCTGGATTGCCCCTTTGTGTTTGTTTGTATGTGTGCTCTTAATAAAGCTTGCAAATGGATTCAATGCCTTCTGACTCATCACAACAGAAGACTTCGCCACTACAGAATCCAGCAGCTTTAGCACAAGTCTCGACTGAACTTTCCGCTCAAGCCACTCAGTTAGCCACCCATCATCAACAACTCACCCATCTAACTTCTCTCACGGAGGAACTGGTGAGAGCTATGCAGCAACTCCGTCATCCGAATCCTGCAGTTACCCCGCCTGCTACCATGACAGCTTCTCAACCAACGCATGTCTCCAATGCTCCAGCTACCGTAAGTCCCCGATTAGCTTTTCCTGAAAAGTTTGATGGGTCACCTTCTCGCTGCAAAGGCTTCTTATTGCAATGCAAACTATTTGTTAACCAACAACCTGCATTATATCCCACTGATTCTAGTCGGGTGGCTTTTGTATGCAACCTGTTAACGGGGAAAGCGTTGGAATGGGCTACAGCGATATGGAAGGAGGAGGAATGTAACTATCCCACATTTGAAACTTTTCTCAAGCAATTTCGGGAAGTGTTCGAGCACCCAGCAGATGGGAGAAGCCCCGGTGAGCAGTTACTTTCTCTTACACAGGGGCGTAGCACAGCTGCAGAATACGCCCTGTCATTTCGCACTCTCGCCGCTCAAACTAACTGGGTTGAGGATACACTGAAGACACTATTCAGACGGGGTCTGAATACCAATCTACAATCTGAATTGGCTTGCCGTGACGAAGGAAAGAAATTGAACGAACTCATTGAACTTACCATCCGTCTTGATCATCTGATTCGCAGCCGTAGAAATCCTCGCACACAGCTCCATGTTTCAAGTGACACGCCCCCTGATGAACCCATGCAACTGGGTTTTACCCGTCTCACCCATGAAGAAAGAATGCATCGATTGCAAAATCATCTATGCCTGTACTGCGGTCAATCAGGGCACAGGAAATCCACCTGCAGCGTACGACCTCAGACACCAGTTCAATCGGTGAGTCCTTCCCATGTTCCTGCACTTTTTAGTGTACTGATTCCTGTGATTATTAAATTTGATAAAAGAATGATTAATACTACGGCTCTTGTCGACTCTGGATCTGCCGGAAACTTTATATCTAAGAAATTTGCTTTATGTCACGAACTATCTCTCAGCTCATATGATTCCTGTCTTGCAGTAGAAGCACTAGACGGTCGTCCTGTGGGTGAAGGACGCATCCGTATGATTACGAATAAGCTACAGTTACAAGTTGGTGTTCTACACATTGAAGAAATGCAATTCTACATTATTGATTCAGTTAATCATCCACTGGTGTTGGGACTGCCCTGGTTAAGGCGACATGATCCTCATATCTCCTGGAGGGACGGACAGATATTGCAGTGGAGTGAGTCATGCATGAAACAGTGCATCCAGCCCATTCACAAAATTCCATTACGAACCACCAATGTGTTACCTGAACTCGTTGATGAACTAATCCCCATTGAGTACCATGACTTACATGAAGCTTTTAGCAAACAAAAAGCTACTCAACTTCCCCCACATCGACCAAGTGATTGTGCTATTGAGTTAATTCCAGGTTCAAGTCCTCCAACGGGGCGAATATTCCCTCTGTCACAACCTGAGCACAAGGCAATGTCTGAATATATCGACGAGGAATTGGCCAAGGGTTTCATCCGACCTTCTACCTCTCCTGCTTCAGCTGGATTTTTCTTTGTAAAGAAGAAAGATGGCAGTTTACGTCCCTGTATTGATTACCGAGGGCTCAATGAAATCACCGTAAAATTCCGCTATCCATTACCCCTCGTACCTCCTGCCCTGGAACAATTAAGAAAGGCTAGATATTATACCAAGCTTGATCTTCGCAGTGCATATAACCTTGTCAGAATCCGTGCTGGTGACGAGTGGAAGACCGCGTTTTCCACCACTAGGGGGCACTATGAGTACACGGTAATGCCCTTCGGCCTGTCAAACTGTCCATCCGTGTTCCAATCTTTCATGAACGATGTCTTTCGGGATATGCTGGATCGCTGGGTCATCATTTACATCGACGACATCCTCATATATTCAAACACGATGAAGGAACATGTTGAACATGTACGTATGGTGTTGCAACGCATGATTCAACATCGTCTGTACGCCAAATTAGAGAAGTGTGAATTTCACCAGACACAGATCGCCTTTTTGGGATACGTCATCAGTGCAGAAGGGATTACCATGGATGATACGAAGGTACAGGCAGTTCAACGATGGCCGTTACCCCAGAATCTCAAGGAGTTGCAGCGATTTCTAGGTTTTGCCAACTTCTATAGACGGTTTATCAGAGGCTTTAGTTCAATAGCCGCACCATTAACAGCCATGACCAAACGAAATTCCCACAAACTATCCTGGTCCTCTGAAGCACGCCAAGCATTTAGCGATTTGAAGACTCAATTCACCACAGCTCCTATTCTCCGTCATCCCAACCCAGACCTACCTTTCATTGTGGAAGTGGATGCATCCAACACAGGAGTCGGTGCTGCGTTATCTCAACGTTAGGGTCAACCAGCCAAAATGTATCCATGTGCCTTCTTCTCCCGTAAATTGACCAGCGCAGAACGAAACTATGATGTGGGAAATCGCGAATTACTGGCAATGAAATTAGCCCTGGAAGAATGGAGACACTGGCTGGAGGGGGCTAGTCAGCAATTCACCATATTAACTGACCACAAGAATCTGGAATATCTTCGCTCAGCCAAACGTCTAAATCCCAGACAAGCTCGTTGGGCTTTGTTCTTCACCAGATTCGACTTCATTGTCACCTATAGACCAGGGAGTAAAAACAGTAAGGCAGATGCACTATCCAGGCTATCAGAGGATAAAACCCCAATTAGTGATGAAACCATTATTCCTACGAACTTACTAGTGGCTCCAGTACAGTGGGACATACTTACCGAGATCCAAGAGGCCAACCGAGAAAACAATCCTCCAGTAGACTGTCCGAATCACCTGATTTTTGTACCTAATGACATACGTACCAGATTACTGACCCATATTCATGACACTCCCAGTTCGGGGCATCCAGGCATCACTGCAACTTTGGAGTTAGTCAAAGCCCGTTTCTGGTGGCCGTCCCTCACGAAGGATGTAATTACTTATGTTCAGAAATGTAAAATTTGCCAAAGCACGAAGGCATCTCACCAAACCCCTGCTGGCCTGTTACAACCGCTACCGGTTCCGCAACGGCCCTGGTCCCATATAGCGGTGGACTTCATTACGGATCTCCCTGTTTCCCAGAACAACACAGTCATTCTCACGGTGGTTGATCAATTCTCCAAGGCTTGTCGCCTAATACCGTTGCCCAAATTGCCCTCTGCCTTTGAAACCGCAGAAGCCCTGTGCAATCATGTATTTCGAATGTTTGGCTTACCTGATGATATCGTCTCAGACAGGGGATCCCAATTCACTTCCCGGGTATGGTCCGCTCTCTGTAAAAATCTAAATATTAATGTTAGCCTCACCTCAGGGTACCATCCTCAATCCAACGGCCAAACTGAACGTATGAATCAAGAAGTCATTCGATTTCTACGTTCCTACTGTCATCAGCAACAGCACGACTGGAGTCGCTATCTGATGTGGGCAGAATATGCACAAAATTCATTAATAAAGCCAGCCACGGGTATTACGCCATTCAAATGTATTCTTGGCTACCAACCACCCCTGTTTCCATGGTCCGGAGAACCCACTGAGTTACCTGCTGTCACGGATTGGCTGCAGCGGAGTGAGGATGTCTGGAACCAGGCTCACAGACATCTCATGAGGGCAGTCAGGAGGAGAGAGATTCAGGCGAACCGTCACCGACGCCAGGGACCCACGTATCAACCGGGGCAGTGGGTGTGGTTGTCGACACGAGACCTTCGTCTGAGATTGCCCTGCCGCAAACTCAGTCCCAGGTATGTAGGGCCATTCAAAATTGTACGCCAGATTACTCCAGTGTCTTTTCGCTTAGCCTTGCCTAATCATTATCGTATTTCTCCTACTTTCCACATGTCATTACTCAAACCCGCTGGTGGTCCACGAGAGGAGGCGGTTGAGGAGGAATCGGAAACCAGGACCCCTCCACCTGTCATGATCGAGGGCGAGGAAGCTTACCTCGTTCGAGAAGTGCTGGACTCTCGACGTCGGGGTGGCGCCCTCCAATATCTGGTGGACTGGGAAGGGTACGGTCCAGAGGAACGGTCCTGGGTGAATGCTAGAGATATTCTAGACCCAACTCTCACGGAAGAGTTTCATCAAAGGTTCCCAGAGAAACCAGCCCCCCGACAGCGCGGTAGACCCCGGCGTCAGGTGCCTTCTCGCTTCAGGAGCCGCTCGCAGGAGGGGGGTTCTGTTGTAAATGAGGGCGATGCCAACCCTCTTGTGCACCACCAGAGGGAACCATCGCCAGAATTCTGATTCGACTCACGGACTCAAAATCCCATAAGCCCTGCTACCTGGCACTGATTACGGTCCAGGTGCAACTCATCAGCTCTCGTGTATATATACCACACTCACGCTCCGGTTCGTTGCGAAGTCTTGATTTGCCTGGCTGTCATTTCTGAGCGTTCCATACTCCCTGCTTCGGACTGATCTGTGTTTCTGACCCTGTGCTCGCCCTACGATTACGAAAGACATCTGCCTGCCCCTGATCTCCAGCCTGTGATTCTGACCAGTAAGATATCTGCCAGCCTTTGAACTTTTGCCTGTCCCACGTTCTGTCTCCTGGATTGCCCCTTTGTGTTTGTTTGTATGTGTGCTCTTAATAAAGCTTGCAAATGGATTCAATGCCTTCTGACTCATCACAACACATATTACAAGTACTCAAATTACTCTAATTGAGTAGTTTTTCTGAGGAATTGTTTTTCACTATGTAGTTTTAGGAATGTGTACTTAGACTTGAGTACATTTTTTGTGTTTTATCTGTAGTTTTACACCACTATGTTAATTTAACCTGCAGTCACTACTTTATTTCTTACTTATATTTTTTCATAGATGATTGGCTATGTAGAATAATCAATCATGTGATTCCCGTCCAATCAAATCGCGCGTAAACAAATCATATCATCAGATCAACCTCAACACACAAGCACTTTATAAATGCAGCTAACATGTACTGTACATTGTGGATGCATTAAGTGTCCAAGAATACACAAAATCGTTACAGAAAGACTTTTTAGATCAGGGGTGCCCAAACTTTTTCCTATAAAGGGCCAAAAAGCAAACTTGACCAAGGGCTGTGGGCCAAATATACAATTGAAGTCAGAATTATTAGCCCCCCTAAATTATTAGTCCCCGTTTATTTTTTTCCCCTAATTTCTGTTTAACGGAGAGAAGATTTTTGTCAACACATTTCTATATTCTATTTCTAAACATAATAGTTTTAATAACTTATTTCTAATAACTGATTTATTTTATCTTTGCCATGATGACAGTAAATAATATTTTACCAGATATTTTTCACGACACTTCTATACAACCTAAAGTGACATTTAAAAAGGTTTAACTAGGTTAATTAGGTTAACTAGGCAGGATAGGGTAATTAGGCAAGTTATTTTTAACGATGGTTTGTTCTGTAGACTATCGAAAAAAATATATAGCTTAAACGGGGCTAATAATTTTGACCTTTAAATGGTTTTTAAAAAATTTAAAACTACTTTTATTCAAGCCGAAAAAAACAAATAAGACTTTCTCCAGAAGAAATAATATTATCAGGCATACTGTGAAAATGTCCTTGCTCTGTTAAACATATTTTAGAAAATATTTTAAAAAGAAAAAAAAAATTCAAAGGAGGGCTAATAATTCTGACTTCAGCTGTATATACTGTTTAACATATTTAAACAAGTGTAAACAAGATATATATTTCTCATAGTTCATTGACCAGCATCACTTCTACTTGGCTCTGGATAACCAGATGATTGTTGAGATGTTGCGGACAGAACTTGCTTACCTCTCGTCCTGCTGGCGAATGACAGGAAGACCAACCCTCACATTCCCTATTACACAGAGCATGCTGGGTAAAACCTCTTAAATGTTTCCGCTAAAGCATACTATATTTTGGCAGAAAGTATTATTAATCTTTTTCTTTTATGGGCCCAGTTGAAGATGGTGACAGTATTGACCCCTGCATCCTCTCCACCTTGCGGAAGCTTCAGGATGGCTACTTTGGTGGTGCAAGGTCAGACAAATTATTGTGTCAACAATAATTAAAAAGAGATACAGTAGTCATTGTGTTTCCATAATTCACAGATGCTTTCTGCTTTTTAGGGTGCAGATGGCAAACCTGTCCTCGTTCCTCACCACCTCCTTCCACACGCAGCTCAGCTTTTTGGACGGCGACTCTGAAGAGGATCTGCTGGAGGAGGAAGAGGAGGAAGATGAAGAGGCTTCCGGTACTGTATCTCTACTTTATCAGGGGTGCATTTCCGAAAACCATTGTTAGCCAACTAAGGTTGCAAGTTCCGTTGTTTCAAACATAGTTCATTGATTTGACATTTCCCAAATCCATCGTTCCAACGAACATTTGCCAACTGCGTCGCAAACCTGTGCACTTGCAACTACACATCTGAAGCTTTAGTTAGAAACATAGTTCCTGGCTGTGTTCTATTCCCAGTTATCTTCCCTATGCCCTATTCGTTTAGAACATTCTGACATTTAAACTTGGAATTATATATAAACACATTAAAGACATCACTCTTGTGTTGTAATTTGCTTTCAAACTATTTTTACAGTTCAGTTTTAGCGATCTTCATGTTTACAATTGCGCTCCCTTCACAGTGCACTTTGAAAGCATTGATGTCATTTTGAACAGAGGCGAGCGGATAGGTGATGTAATGTCTTCAAAGTTAGTATTATATTTACAGTCGTTGCTCTAAAGTTTGTGAAAACAAAAAACATAGATTACGTTAATGCTTTTATTTTATAGTAGGTCATTTATTAAGAAATATAGCCTAGTGTATATGACATGGGCCTGTTGGTTAGCACATTTCTGCAGTGGTTTGCATGTTAAATTGTAAAAGTAGACTAAAAACAAAACAAAACAAAAAAACAATATCCTACTTATTAATAATAATAATCATGATCATCATCATCATTATTTATATTATTATCAAAGCATGATTTTTTTCATTTCCTGATTTCATTTTTTAATAAATAGCCTCATTATTTATTTATTTAGATGATTTATATATGAGACTAAAATATGTGTCAGCTTTTGTAAGTGATTTTATGTTTAAGAATAGAATATGTAATGTTCTCAATAATATTTGTAAAGGAAACACTGGCTCTGTATGTGCCATTTACATATATTTAAATTAATATGGAAATGTGTGTTTGTGTAAAACAGTATTATTTGCACAGAGAAATTAAGGGCTTCTCCACAAAGAAGTTGTTACTCCTCCCTGTTTAGAGCGTCATTATGGGCGTTTTACGTTATAACTAATGTGGTTTAAATGATGGATCTGCAACAGAGAAACTATGCGTTTTGGGAAGCACTCGTCACTACATCATTCTTTTCACAAACGATGCACTGTACTATGATAGCTCAACCACGAGTTACGTCGTTGTTTGGAAAATGCACTCCTGACTCGCACACAGCTGCTTTGTCCACCTGAAAAACATGTATATACAATTAAAGGCAAAATTATTAGCACTCCTGTGATATATATTTATATATATATAAATATAAATACCAAGTAGCGAAGCAGTGGCGCAGTAGGTAGTGCTGTGGCCTCATAGCAAGAAGGTTGCTGGGTTGCTGGTTTGAGCCCCGGCTCAGTTAGCGTTTCTGTGTGGAGTTTGCATGTTTTCCCTGCATTCCTGTGAGTTTCCTCCGGGTGCTCCGGTTTCCCCCACAGTCCAAAGACATGCGGTACAGGTGAGTTGGGTAGGCTAAATTATTTGTAGTGTATGAGTGTGTGTGTGAATGTGTGTGTGAATGTTTCCCAGAGATGGGTTGTGGCTGGAAGGGCATCCGCTGCATAAAAACTTGCTGGATAAGTTGGCGGTTCATTCCACTGTGGCGACCCCAGATTAATAAAAGGGACTAAGTCGACAAAAAAAATGAATGAATGAATGAATATTTCCCAAGTAATGTTTAACTGAGGAAGGAAATTTTCACAGTGTTTCCTACATACAATATATTTATTTCTTCTGGGAAAAGTCTTATTTCTGTTTTTACATTTTTAAAATAATAATGTTCAAGGTTAAGTATTTGAATAATTCTTAAGGGTAAATAATTGAAAAATAATAAAAATTCCAATAATGTTCATATATTAGCAGCATTGTTATTGTTATCTAAAAAAAGAAGGAATCTTCTAGGGCCTACGGTAATTTATGGTACAAACAGTATTATAAATTATCACATTTTAAACTAGCCAAGATTATAATTGAAAACTTTTTATTTAAAATTTTATTTAATAATAAAGAATTTTTTTATAATCATTTGACATTGAAATTATTAGTTTTTTTGTTTTGTTTACAACAGCACTTACTGTGAAATAAATCTGATATAAGAACTATATTTGTTACATTCATTCATTCCTTCATTCATTTTCTTTTCGGCTTAGTTCCTTTATTAATGAGTTGTATAACCAATAGGACATATTTGTGCGACCCAGGACCCTAATCGAATTATTCATTTGTACTTAATAAATTACTAATAATCTTGACATTGATCTCCGCCTCCTGAGTTTGTGTTGAACACACATGGAGTCATAAATAAATAATCCAACACAACCCATCTCTGGGAAACATACACTCCCATGCTCACTACTGACAATTTAGCTTATCCAATTCCCCTATAGCACATGTCTTTAGGCATGTGGGGGAAACCGGAGCACCCGGAGAAAACCCACACCAACACGAGGAGAACATGCAAACTCCACACAGAAATGCCAACTGACCCAGCCAAGGCCCAAACCAGCGACCTTCTTGCTGTGAGGCGATTGTGCTACATCAGAAATGTTTACCTTTAAAAAATATTACTATTATTATTAAGCATTTTTATTAATTCTTTATATTTTAAAATAGCCTGTTTATTAATTATCTTTTCCATTTAAAATATAAAAACCTTAAGTCTTTCTTTTTGATCTTGTTGTTAGGCTAGTCAAGACAGCGTCCCAAATTCAACATGTACAAGTGATTCGAATCATTTTCCATATAAACAAAGCTAAAAAACAGTGCTTTGTTTTTCCAGCAGGAGGATCAGGAGACATGTTCGACCAGTACCTCACGGATTTATTGCACAGCACTACCACAAAATGCCATCTACCTCCCATCCAAAGAGGGCAGCACCACGTTTTCAGTGCTGAACACACCACCAGAGACATACTGTCCTTCATGGCCCAAGTTCAAGGCCACAACATGCCAAGTAAGCAGTAAAATCAATCATGTCATGCTTTCTATTACAGGGCGTCAAAATAATCTTGATCTTTTTTGTTTCTCAGAGCCGTCCATGTATTTGCCTGTTGCCCCTATCATGAGCAAACACAGGAAGTCTCTGAACCTGCTAGATGTCCCTCAACATAAAGCTTCACCTCAGACAAAGGCAAGTTCAAACAAATATCCAATAGTACCTGGATTCAGCCTTGATGATGCAAGCTGAGACTGCATATCTCCGTGATGCAATGTCAGACACAATGCACTCAAAGGAGCTAGTGACATCACTGTTAGGGGTAGGGTTAACTGAGTGCATTAAAAAGCATTGGATGCAGCTCAGATTGCACTGTACCAGGTCTACATCCAGACCCCTCTCCAAATACCTACTTTTTTCCTATAAGCATCAGGATGTTTTGTGTGTATTATAGGAGTCATTTCCATTAAACTGTAAACGATCAATGAAGTGTTTTAATAACAATGAGCTGTCATTATTTTCCCAACAGTTCAGCTATTCAGTTTTGAAAAGGCAGCTTGTTAAAATTAATAATATACTTTTAGCAGACTAAGACGTACAACAAAACCACAAAACAAGACTTTCCACAGCAATATTAAGGGTATTTTATAATTTATATTTAATATTTAATGTATTAATTAATTAATTATTATTAATTAATATTAATTAATTAATTATTAATATAATTAATATTTACTGTATTATAGGAGGGCAGAGATACAAATAATATGGAGAAACAAGACACAGTGAGCTCAAAATGGTTTGGTTGTCACATTCAAACACATTATTATGCAATGTTATTTTTTTTATAATAGATAAATGTAAAACACAAAACCACTCATAGATCTGTATTTGTGTCATGTGTGATTTGTACTGTTTATTTATTTTCTTATGGAAATTCCTTAAACCCAAATGCAACTCAAGTGTAAATAAGGGATTACGTAAGGGATTAACACAAAATAAGGCCTGACAGGCTTATTGGCAGCCCAACATGAAGCAGAGCACTTTTGTATAAGACTTAAGGGATTATTCCGGCTAAATAAACGCCTGGATGTACTTTATCCCATTTATTACATGGCTACTTTCCACAAAGTGTAAAAACTAGACAGAAAACATTCTTCTGAGCCCTAATAGTTTATTAATTCTTAAATGCGAGGCTGACAGAAATGAAAATGGCTGAACGGAGCATACACTAATCCTATTATTCATTTTATTCAATATTATTTAATCACAAGATGGCGCCACACAGTCAAAAGCATCAGCCAAACAGAATCTTAAACATATGAATGTGGATGTATGTATATGATGTGAACGTATTCATTTAGAGTCAAGGTGATTCAAAGTATCTAGACGAGCATGTTTTATTAGCTTTAGTGGTTGTTATCTGGAAATAACTGATTGACCAATCAGAATCAAGTATTCCAGAGAGCCGTGCAATTAAAAAAGCGCAAAGAAGAATCAAAATAAACAGCTGTAGTTTGTGGTTTTGTCTCTTTAGGCTGATAACGTTGACCTGCATTTACCACGCGATTCTCATGGAAACACAGACTTTGTTCATCTGGTGGATCAGCTTAAGCACTGTCCAACCCTGCAGGACCAGGCCGATATCCTCTATGTCCTCTATGCTATGAAGTGAGAGACTATTGTGCATATCTATTTTGATTTCTGCTTCATCCAATAGTTTAATAATCGTTCTCTTCCTGATGTGTATGTGTATATAGAGGCCCGAACTGGGTGGTGAGTTTGTCAGGACAGGGTGAGGCGACAGTTCGCTCTCTGCTGGAGGAGCTGTACGTTCGGGCAGGAGCGTGTAAGGAATGGGGCCTCATCCGCTACATCTCCGGCATCCTGAAGAAGAGGGTGGAAGTCCTTGCTGAAGTGAGACTCTTGTTAATCTATGCATTTATTGTCAACTTGACAATATTAATTATTGTTGTTTGATTAATTCATATATAATACAGTATGTGAATCTAGACCAGGGGTGTAAAAACTCGGTCCTGGGGGGCCGGTGTCCCTCACAGTTTAGCTCCAACTTGCTTCTACACACCTACCAGAAAGTTGCTAGTATATCTAGTAAGAGCTTGATTAGCTGGTTCAGGTGTGTTTGATTAGGGTTGGAGCTAAACTTTCCAGGACACCGGCCCTCCAGTATCGAGTTTGGACACCTCTGATCTAGACCATAAAACCAGTCTTAAGTTGCCAACATTATGAGTCAAAGTTGTTGATTTTTCTGTTTTTGCAGAAATGATGAGAATATTAGGTAAAGATCTTGCTTCATGAAGATATTTTTAAAGTCCTTAATGAAAATATATTGAAAAAAATATGTTTGATTAGTAATTTTAATAGCTAAGAACATAATTTAAACAACTTCAAAGGTGATTTTCTCAAGAATTTGATTTTGTTTACCTTTCCAGATTCCAGATTTTTAAATAGTCGTATCTCAGCCAAATATTCTCCAATCCTAACAAACCATGTACAATTAAAAATCTTATTTATTTAGCTTTCAGATGATGTATAAATGCCAATTATGCAAAATAAAACTTAGTATAATATTTTGTCCTTAATATAATTTGTACCTTCTCGCTGTGAGGCCACAGTGCTAATCACTGAGCCACCGTGCCGCCTATTTAATATTCATCATTAAAAATAATGTAGTATGGTTATAAATATGTACTTATGACTGGTAACGGGTATATGCCAAGGCATGCTAATAGGACTTTTAATTTGCCAGTAACCTGGGTTAAGTGCTTCCGGTGAACTGTATGCCAATGCAAAAATTGGCGCGTTTAATGTCTGTTTTCTTAAAAAATCACCGATCTCCACTAGCTGAGTGATATCCGATATAAAGTGGGTCTCAGATTGTACAAGAAGCACTGCATTAAATTAGATTTTCCCCACTATGTCTTTATAATATGAGCATTTATTTTACCCCAGTATATTCAATGGAGCTTCTGTGCTAGCCTGCTGATTCAACAAGTAAATGAATGCCAAAGTTTATTTAACTGAATGTATTTTAATTAAATTACAACATTGATGCTGTAAAAGGAACCGTATAAAATGGAAACAAATTCACAATAACAGGTCACCGGAAGTTTAACAGTATGGGAACAACACTAGCTCGGCATATACCCTATTGTGATCTAGTCATGTATTATAACATTTGCTGAATGTACTGGTTTACGAGGTATGTGTTTGAGTAAAAAGGTAATATTATTTTTAATCTATAAAGGTCGGATAACATTTCTTCCAAATTTCAAATAAAAATATTGTGAATTATAATTTTATTTATTTATTTTTAATTTTTTATTTTTTTTTGGTCAAAGTAATTGAATTGCTAATATGATGTGCTGATTTGCTCCTTAAGAAACATTGCTAACAACCAGAGACATTTTTTCAAAATCCTTTGTAAGATTATAAATGTCCGCATCACTTTTGATCGTTTTGAACGTTTCATGTTTTTGTTTCTCATCAAGTTAACAAATTATTTATTTTTACTCCTTATCCAGACCCAAACATCTGTTCATATCTATGAAAATCCATCATAAAATGTAAATTATTATATTGATGAAACTATGATAAGCTAAACAGAGTACAAATCGGTGATGTCATGCCAAGTCACATTTATAGTAATTAGATGGTTTCTTTTGGACTAATATCTTGAACTTACATACCTGTGAGTTGTCCAACATTTGCATTAATATGCTTTTTGTTGGCATCTTATGCAATTAGGCCTGCACAGATCTGATCTCTCATCATAAACAGCTGACAGTGGGTCTTCCTCCTGAACCCAGAGAGAAAGTCATCACGGTGTGAGTGTCTTTTCACATGTTCCTTTTAAAATAATTTTAATATTCCTCCAATACCTAACCAGGTTCTTATTTTTAGTCCTCTTCCTCCTGAAGAATTGATCAGCTTGATCTACGAGGCCAGCGGACAAGACATCAGCATTGCAGTCCTCACACAGGTACTGTTGATTTGTAAGCCTTAGGGCCCTATCATAAACCTGGCTCAGTGTTTTTCTCCGGTTTCAAATTGGTGCAGGTATAATTTTCATGTCCTGTGCCACTTTGTTTAAATTTGTGCACCCATGAGTGTGCTGGTCTGAAAAGCAGGTCTGTTGGTAAAGCATTTCTATTGTGACGCAACTGAAAAAGACCACACCATTGACCAACTAAAAGTCAATAGGGCATTTCTTTTTGTTGTTCTTGTTATTTAAACAATGTGTTGACAAACAGTGCCTATGTGCAGGTCCATGTGTGTACTTGTTGCTTATTACACACGCAGGGATGCACAGCAGCACACAAACATCTTTATATATGATAATGAATAGTCATCGCATGTATCAAAATTAGCCCACCTACCTATTTGCAGAATTGGCGAATGACATACAGTACATCATACATGCTTCTTCACTAGTGATTCGTTCAGTTTTTCTGCTTACAATGTCCTCCATGTAAATAAAAAATTCACCATGATGCAAATGCAACTTGCTCTTAAAGGTTAAGGGATTATACACTTACTGGCCACTTTATTAGGTACACCTGTCCAACTGCTTGTTAACGCAAATTCCTAATCAGCCAATCACTTGGCAACGACTCTATGCATTTAGGCATGTAGACATGGTCAAGACAATCTGCTGCAGTTCAAACCGAGGATCAGAAATGTGATTTAAGTAACTTTAAACGTGGCATGGTTGTTGGTGTCAGACTGGCTGGTCTGAGTATTTCAGAAACTGCTGATCTACTGGGATTTGCACGCACAACTTTTCTAGGGTTTATATAGAATGGTCTGAAAATGAGAAAACATCCAGTGAGCAGCAGTTCTGTGGGCGCAAATGCCTTGTTGATGCCAGAGGTCTGAGGAGAATGGCCAGACTGGTTCGAGCTGACAGAAACCGAAGTCACCTTGAAGCAGATGTGCTACAGCAACAGAAGACCACACCGGGTGCCACTAAAGCCTGATTTATACTTCTGCGTCAAGTGACCGGCTTAACCCACGGCGCATGCAACGCGCATGGCTGTGCATTTATACTTCTGCGCGCTGTCTCTGTTGGTCTGCATTAACAATTCCGAAACGCTAGTTGGCAGTGAGGTGTAAATGTTCCTCTGTGTCGAGTTTCTACGCTGCTTTTCCTGAACACTTCCGGGATGTACAAGTGGCTCAAACTCGCTCATTTTGAGGCAGGAACCGGCGGACGTGCAACAACTTTAACTATGAGGGAAACACAAAACAAAACTTTCCATCCGGAGCTCCTTCGCGGGACTCCACACTTGTAAACAATCGCTCGCGCCATTCGCGCGGCTCTCGGTCCCGCCCAGATTCGTCAGCGCTACCAAGCCGGCCAATCACAGAGCTTGAGCTACGCATCGTTGCGACGTGAAGTTACAATTTTTGAGAGGTGCACGTCAGCGACGCCGACGGCCACGGCGAAGGGCTATGCGTCAGTGCCGTAGCATACGACGGCGTTTGACGCAGAAGTATAAATCAGCCTTAAGAGTCAGGTTGTAAGCTAAGAGCAGAAAACTGAGGCTACAATTCACACAGACTGGATTGGAGAGATTGGAGAAACGTTGCCTGCTCTGATGACTCTCGATTTCTGCTGCAACATTCGGATGATAGAGTCAGAATTTGGCTTCAGCAACATAAAAGCATGGATCCAGCCTGCCTTGTATAATGGTTCAGGCTGGTGGGAGGGGTTTAATGGTGTGGGGATATTTTCTTAGCAAACTTTGGACTCATTAGTACCAATACCACAGCCTACCTGAGTATTGCTGCTGACCATGTCTATCCCTTTATGACCACAGTATAACCATCTGACCACAGTGTACCCATAAAGCGTGAATTATCTCAATCTTCTTGAACATGACAATGAGTTTACTGTACTCAAATGGCCTCCACAGTCACCAGATCTCAATCCAATTTAGCACCTTTGGGATGTGGTGGAATGGGAGATTTACATCATGGATGTGCAGCCGACAAATCTACAGCAACTGTGTGATGCTATCATGTCAATATGGACCAAAATCTCACTGGAATATTTCCAGTACCATGTTAAATCTATGCCACAAAGGATTAAGGCAGTTCTGAAGGCAAACGTGTGGCCAACCTGGTACTAGTAAGGTGTACCTAATAAAGTGGCCATTGTGTGTAGACTGGTTTATTAAGTGTTTTTTTCCATACTTAAAATAACAAAATTGAATTTGGACACATCCTAAGTGCATCAACACAATGCGTTTTAAACCATGCAGTTTGATCGTAAAGTAACGATTCATTATGCGAACCATTTTTGAGCACAATGAGCGTTTTGTAAATCTGCTTAATTTATGATTTCAGGAGATTATGGTGTATTTGGCCATGTACGTGCGCTCTCAGCCATCTCTGTTTGGAGATATGCTGCGTCTGCGCATCGGTCTCATCATGCAGGTGATGGCAACTGAACTGGCCCGCAGTCTGCACTGCTCAGGTACAGACAATATCAGATCTGGATTTACAGTCTATTCTATCATTCACTTGCATTTATTCAGCTGAATCTGCCCATTTGGCCTGTACAGGAGAAGAGGCTTCAGAGAGCCTGATGAGCCTCAGTCCTTTTGACATGAAGAATCTCTTACATCACATCCTGAGCGGGAAAGAGTTTGGCGTTGAGAGGAGCAGTGAGTATTATGGTTCCGTTAATGTTAGTTAATGTATTTAATAATATACACAAACAATGAACAATGCATTTATTACATGATTTATTAATCTTTGCTCATGCCCATGCTCATAACCCTTTAACTGTCGTCCCCATATTTTGAACATACACTACCTTACAAATGTCTTATCGTTGATCTTAGTTGTAAGAGCAACAAATAATAACTTTACTTCATGTTGATAATTTGGAAAAGTGGCAGAAGGTAGATTTTTTGGATAAAATATCTAAACTGCATCTCAATCATCACAAATACTGCAGAAGATCTGAAGAACCCTCATGGACACAAAATTCTTACTGAAATCAGTCATGTTTGGTGAAGGAAAAACCATGGTTTGGGGTTACATTCAGTATGGGGCTGTGCGAGAGATCTGTAGAGTGGATGGCAACATCAACAGCCTGAGGTATCAAGACATTTGTGCTGTCTATTACATTACAAACAAGGATAGCGCTCCTTCTAATACTTCAGCCTCCACATTAAAGTTCCTGAAAGCAAAGATGCTGTAGGATTGGCCAGCCCAGTCACCAGACATATAAAGAAGATGAATCCAAGGAATCTTGATGAACTCTGGAAGTCCTGAAAGAACGCTTTCTTTGCTATTCCAGATGACTTTATTAATAAGTTGAGTCATTGCAGAGATGTATGGATGCAGTCCTCCAAGCTCATGAGAGTCATACACAATATTCATTCATTCTCCGCTGCACATGACTTCTATACTGTACATTATTTCTGTTAAGTGACAAAACTTTTGTCTAAGCAAATTCAGACCTTACTGTCCTAATTAAATAATTAAAAATCAAGGTATGATCATATTTTATTTTGGTAAAGCAAGCTTAATCTTTTGCCCTTTGCTTTTCATATAAGCCACTTCTGATACCAAATGATCAACTAGAAGTAAAGGTATTATTTGTTGTTCCTAAAACTTGGATAGGCTACAAAAAAAAAAAAAAATACAAGTTCAACTTAAATAATTGCCAATCAAAGCTTCAATGCTTTGGTAAACAGATTTAAACCTGGTCTTATTTTAAAGAAGACAGAGGTCAGTTTGTAGCTAAAAAAAGTAATAGTAATAGTGAAATAAAAAAAACCTTTATGTTTATAAGATTATTAAAAATGAATGTATATGTTAATACAATACATGAAATATATTTTTTACAAAACTTGTTTAAGCCTAAAAAGAAAATTAAAGTTAAATATCTGAACAAATTATATTCCAAATTTAAAGTTGAATCTCCAAAAATTTGCTCTCAGTAAGATTAAGACATCACCACCAGATGATCCTCATTTTATATATATATATATATATATATATATACAGTTGAAGTCAGAATTATTAGCCCTCTTAAATTTTTTTTCTTCTTTTTTAAATAATTTCCAAATTATGTTTAACAGTGGAAGGAAATTTTCACAGTATGTCTGATAATATTTTTTCTTTAGAGAAAAGTATTGTTTGTTTAATTTTGGCTAGAATAAAAAGAGTTTTTAATTTTTTAAACACCGTTTTAGGGACAAAATTATTAGCACCTTTGAGCTATATTTTTTCTCGATTGTCTACAGAACAAACCATTGTTATACAATAACTTGCCTAATTACCCTAACCTGCCTAGTTAACCTAATTAACCTAGTTAAGCCTTTAAATGTCACTTTAAGCTGTATAGAAGTGTCCTGAAAAATATCTAGTAAAATATTATTTTCAGTCATCATGGCAAAGATAAAATAAATCAGTTATTAGAAATGAGTTATTAAAACCATTATGTTTTGAAATGTGTTGAAAAAATCTTCTCTCCGTTAAACAGAAATTTGCTAAAAAAGAAACAAACGGTCTAATAATTCAGGAGGGCTAATAATTATGACTTCAACTGTATATATATATATATATATATATATATTTGACAATATTTGTAAAGTAGACATGAAATAAATAAAACTAACAGTTATTGTTTTGATGCTTTAAACTACATATAAAATGCATTTGATTTGCCTTACTTTTTTCAATGATTTCTCTGTATTCTGTGAAAGTGCGTCCAATTCAGTCGTCTGCCACCAGTCCTGCCATCTCCATCCATGAGCTCGGACACACAGGAGCCACCAAGACAGAGCGGACAGGCATCAGAAAACTCAAGACTGAAATTAAACAGGTGGAGTGAGGGGAGAGAAACCCATGCACATTTTTATTAAAGTATTATAATAATTAATAATAATAACAATAATAATAACAATTATTATTATTATTATTATTATTATTATTTATATTATGATAATTATTATTGTTGTTATTATTATTTTTATTGTTGTTATTATTATTATTGTTATTGTTATTATTATTATTAAATGTATAGATATATTATAAATATTTAATTATATTATTATTAAATTAAGTATATTATATCTGGTGTTTTCATAAATTCTGATTCATAACAAATTATAAACAGATTTTGTTTTTTTACTGTGTCTTCAAATGACATTTCTATTATTTTGTTTTCAGCTCGATGACTCCAGACCCATAAGCGTGGGTTGAGTTTGCAATATATATTTTTTTCAGGCATGCTGTGCTAATACTTCAGAGCACCTTTTTTTGTGCAGAGCCCATTCTGTCTAGATGTCATGGCACATTTGTTAAAACCATGTAACCAGCATTAGCATAATTCTAGTAATATTCATATCATACACATGGTTGTCAGACATCTTTCTGACTGTACGAGTATTAGTTTGTCATGTTTGTCAGTGTCTCAACTGTTCATTCATCTGAAATGCTCCATTCTTCTGTTTGTTTGTTGTGCTTTTATCCTCATAGATCTATTCCAGCAGTCATTCCATCAGCAGTAATGTCACATCACCTCGCTCCACGGTAACTCACAAAATAAATTACTAAAATCCTCTCCGCTAACCCCTGCTCTCCATTGTATCAAATAATATTATTACATTAAGTCTGCCTGAAAGATTAAAGGCACAGTGGGTAGCGCTGACCCCTCAGAGAAGATGGTCGCTGGTTCAAGCCTCGGCTGGGTCAGTTGGCATTTCTGTGTGGAGTTTGCATGTTCTCCCCATGTTTGCGTAGGTTTCCTGCAAATGCTCCGGTTTCCCCTAGAAGTCCAAAGACATGTGCTATAGGTGAATTGGGTAGGCTAAAATTGTCCATAGTGTATGGGTGTGAATAAGTGTGTATGTATGTTTCCCAGTGTTGGGTTGCAGCTGAAAGGGCATCCGCAGCGTAAAACAATTGCTGGATAAGTTGGCGGTTCATTCCGCTGTGGCGACCACAGATTAATAAAGGGACTAAGCCAAAAAAAAAATGAATGAATGATTGAAGAATAATCTAACTTAAAGCGATTTATTCATTTTAGTTGTTTTCGATAGAAATACAAAGGTTATTTTTGGTGTTGATGGTTTCTTGAAGAACCTTTAGAAGAAACCTTGTGGAATTAAAAACTATTCTCAATAAAGGGGTAGTTCATCCAAAACAATAATTCTGTCATAATTTTGCTGATGTTTCATAAACATATTTAAGTTTCTTTTTCTAATGAACAAAAAATAAGATGTTTTGAAAAAAGCTGGAAATTAGTAGCCATTAACTTCTATATTTGTTTTTTCCTACTACTGGTGTCCAACACTGTTCAATATCTTCTTTTGTGTTCATTGAAAAGACACGAACTGTTGATACATGTTTGCAGCCACATGAGGGAGAATAAATAGTGAGTACTTTTTCATTTTTGGGTAAAATATCCCTTTATGAGAACCCAAAATGCTTCTTTTTTGGAATAAACTATGCTTTATTTAATTCTTACTTTTTAAGAATATGTTGTTTGAATACATTTGCTTTGAAAGACTTAGATTAGATTGCTGTTGTGAAATCAGACAAGATTCCAACTATTACAGTCAACTAACATTCCCCCTACTGTGTAAAGCGCTTTGAGTGCCCAGAAAAGCGCTATATAAATGTAAGGAATTATTATTATTATTATTATTATTTTAACATGCCACAAGTCAGTCTTTGTTTTTTTTGTGGTCATTTCACTTACTTATTATGGCCTGATGTAATGACATCATTACTGTGTTTGTCTATGGTGACCAGACATCCTGTTTTTTCCATAATTTTAGCTCTATTTTTAATGTGCCAAGTTATTATGTTAAAATGATCTATTGTCCTGCTTTTATTATTCCTGAAATGAACAATAGTCATGACTAATAGTAATTAATCATGTCTTAGAATATTCAGAAGGATAAAATTACCATGAAGTCTCTTTTAAGAGCCCCTATTATACATTAAAAAGGGTCATATTTTGGTTTTAGGGGTCTCCAACAACAGGCTGATATGCATGCAAGATCAAAAAACATTTCCATTGTATTATAATATACATTTATTTTTACCTTTTTATCCCAGTGACTTCCATATGAAGCATTCAGCGTGAGACAGAGCGAAATGCCCACCACGGCTTATCAACAATATTGAAGTATTCTGAGTGCATAGTGTTTGTGTGAGCATACCTGTCTGTGAAACCCCCGGGTCGTGTACATGTACAGAATCCGATCGCAGCGGCGGTCCAAAACATGCCTCATAGTTGTTGCTAACACCACAGTACACAATACCCGGTTCTCAACAGTGTTATTCAGACACCTCACCCCCGAACCTAACACCCCCATCCCCCAAAACAAGCAGTTACAAGTATACACAGTTGAATACATAATTTACAAGCTGGAGAAAACAAGGAGGCAACCATTTCAATAACACTTACTTAGACTTGTAAAATGGAGGAAGAAACTGATCTACGATCCACTGATCCATGTACTGAGAAAGTTCCTGTCAAGCTCTGACAAAGTCCCATACATCAAATAGTCTTTTCTGAATCTTCCTTTAACAAACGGCTGACAAATCCCCTGTTGTAAGCGTGTAGATTCCAGGGAACACAGCACAAGACAGGGTCAATAATGCTGAGGTATTTTTGCAAAAACAAACCTCAACCACTGACTCTTCACAGTTTCATCTTTGGGTAGAGAAAATAGCACTAACTTTCCCTCACATCAAATAATATTCAGCTGAGCACAGCGTCTTCATGACTTTGATTTATGATTCAACCTGGGTCTGCTGCAGTATTTGTGGGCGGGGCTGCAGGTTTCAATTTTCCTGGGTTTGCACATGCAACAATTGGGCGGGGCTTAAGTTTCATATCGACGTAATGCCAAATTGGCTAAAGACTCGTTATCAAGACGATTCATTTGAAGCACTATGAGTCGACTCTTTCATAAATGAATCAATAGTTTTAAACACGGTGCACTTTCAGATTTAAGCCTTACCTGGATATTTCACTTTGTTACACACTACATGGAAGGTCATTTAAAAAAAAAAAAAACATAATAGGGGCTCTTTAACCATATATTAAAGGGATATTTCATCCAAAAAAATTATATTTTGCTATCATTTACTTATCCCAGGGATGGGCAAACTTGATCCTCGAGGGCCGGGGTCCCTGCAGAGTTTTGTTCTAACACTAGACAAACACACCTAAACATGCTAATCAGTGTCTTTAAGATCACAAGAAATCTATAAGCAGGTGTGTTTGATTAGGGTTAAAGCTAAACTGTGCAGGACACCAGCCCTCCAGGACCGAGTTTGCCCACCCCTGACTTATCCTGTACTTTTTCAAAACCTATTTGAGCTTCTTGTTTCCACTGAACACAAGAGGATATTTTGAAAATGTTAGAAATGGAAAAGTATGGCTGTCAGTTTCAAACAATCTTCAAAATAATTTATTTTGTCTTCAACAAAGCACATTTTCACTTTTAGTGAGCTGTCTCCTTAATTTCATGATGACATTGATGTTTATTGGTTATTAGATACAATAAATATACAATTTTGGGAGGTGGGTGATCCATCCCATATTGCACTCCCAAAAGTCTGGTCACCCTATTTTTGTCCAAGTTTGTGCTTGCTTAACATGCAGCATGCTTTTTGTCGCTTTAGGTGACTAGCTAGTTTTTTGTTTTGCTTTTGTGCATATTTCTGTGATAAACTCAGGATGGAGTTTTGTGTATGTGTGTAGCGATGCAGCAGCCCATCCACTCCCAGCGGGATTTTGTCTCCGACCGGGACAGGAGACTGTCACCTGCAGTGGGAGGAGCGGCAGGGCCAGTGGCTGAGGAGACGCAGGTTGGACGGGGCCATCAACCGGGTCCCCATGGGCTTCTATCAGAAAGTCTGGAAGATTCTCCAAAAGTGTCATGGCCTCTCCATCGCTGGTTATGTCCTGCCTTCTTCTACCACCCGTGAGGTGCATACACCTGCTCACATACAGTTGAAGCCCTGTATTATTTTTCCTCAAATTCTGTTTAGCAGAAAGAATATTTTTTGTCAACATTGATTGTAGATGACGGAGGGAGAGATCAAGTTTGCGGTGCATGTGGAGTCTGTCCTGAATCATGTTCCTCAGCCGGAGTACAGGCAGCTGCTGGTGGAGGCTATTATGGTGCTCACTCTTGTGGCCGACATGGAGATTCCTAGTGTTGGTGGAATTATTCACATCGACCGCATCGTTCACATGGCCAACGATCTCTTTCAGCAGGATCAGGTGACCATCATGCTTCATATGCTGTAGTATACACTGCCGGGTACAAAAAGTGACTGTTTATGTCGTGTTATGAACAGGGGTTGGACAATGAAACTGAAACACCTGGTTTTAAACCACAATAATTCATTAGTATGGTGTAGGGCCTCCTTTTGCAGCCAATACAGCATTAGCTCATCTTGAGAATGGCAGATACAAGTCTTGCACAGTGGCCAAAGGGATTTTGAGCCATTCGTCTTGCAGAATAGTGGCCAGCTCACTACATGATGCTGAAGGAGGGAAAATGTTTTCTGACTCGCTCCTCCAAAACACCCCAAATTGACTCAATAATATTTAGATCTGGTGACTGTGCAGGCCATGAGAGATGTTCAGCTTCACTTTCATGTTCATTAAACCGCTCTTCTGCCAGTCTTGCTGTGTGTATTAGTACATTAGCATCCTAATACACAACACTGCCTTTAGGATGCAATGTTTAAACCATTGGGTGCACATGGTCCTCCAGAATGGTCCTGTTGTCCTTGGGAGTGACACACCCATCTAGCACAAGTATTAGACCTAGGGAATGTCATGATATTGAAGCCCAAACTATCCTTGATCCACATCTATGCTACACTCTGGGCATGCAACTGTCTGGGTGGTATGCTTCTTTGAGGCTTTTCCACGCAAGAACCCTCCCAGATGTGGGAAAGACAGTAAAGGTGGACTCATCAGAGAACAATACATGTTTCACATTGCCCACAGCCCAAGATTTGTGCTGATGACACTATTGAAACCGATGTTTGGCATTGGCACGAGTGACCAAAGGTTTAGCTATAGCTGCCCAGCCATGTGGAGCTCCCGACGAACAGTTTTGGTGGAAACTGGAGAGTTGAGGTGCACACTTAATTCTGCAGTGAGTTAGGTAGCTGTGGTTTTATCCCTTTTGGATACAATCCAGCTTAGCACTTGGACATCCCTTTCAGACAGCTTCCTCTTGAGTCCACAGTTACTCCTGATGGATGTGGTACGTCCTTCTTGGTGGGATGCTGGCATTACCTTGGATACTGTTGTTCCTTATAGATCTCTTGACTTGGTCACAGATGCGCCTGCGAGACATGCACAAACAACTTGTCCTCTTTCGAATTCTGATATGTCACCTATAATGTTGTGTGCATTGCGATATATGTAAATACATTCATATTTATTCATTTATTTTTATATGTGTGTGTGTGTGTGTGTATGTGTGTGTGTGTGTTGAGTATACTATGGATATAAACTCATTTATTCATTCATTTTCATTTCAGCTTAGTTTCTTTATTAATCTGGGGTCACCACAGCAGAATTAACCGCCAACTTATCCAGCGTATGTTTTACGCAATGGATGCTCTTTCAGCCATCACTGGGAAACATCATACACCCTCATTCACACACATACACTACATTCAGTTTAGCCCAGTTCACCTATACCACATGTTTTTGGACTTGTGGGGAAACCCGGAGGGAAACCCATGTGAACACGGGGAGAAAATGCAAACTCCACACAGAAATGCTGTGAGGCTATTGTGATACCCCCTGCGCCACCGTGCTACCCTATGGATATACAGTATATGTAATATTGCTTTGATTACTTGTACTATCCTCATATGTAAATCGCTAAGGATAAAAGGATCTGCCAAATGATTAAATGTCATGTAAATGTAAAACTAGCTTCATCAAAGTGTCTTGATTTTGTCCGGACTCCAGCTTTGCAAATTTTAAACATTGTTTCATGTTTGTTTGTTTGTATTGCAGAGATCCAGCGGGGCCAATGAGTATTTCTTGGAGCAAGATCCTGCCACAGGAATCTGTAACTTCTTCTATGACAGCGCTCCCAGCGGCAGCTATGGCACCATGACTTATCTTTCCAAGGCGGTGGTCACATATGTTCAAGACTTCCTGCCAAACAGCAGCTGTCTAATGCAGTAACGACTGCCAGTGACCTTCACTGCTGATCTATGACCAGTTACATCAAATCAAACGGTGAAAAATATTACTGAGTTCAGTAGCGAAGGACAAGCAGAAATGGGGAAAACACTCAAATTAATGCTGTGAAGAAAAACAGACTGCAGAAAACGGACCACTGTGCTGTTCTGTAAACAATTCTAATTTAGGGACTGTAAACGCAAATAACTCTAAAAATTATTAGTTTATATTTCATTTACATGACAGAAATAACTCTATATTTAATGATATTTTAATAATTTATCTTAATTTATTGTTTTATGTTCATAAAAGTATGTTTTATTTAAATTAGCACTTAAATTCTATCTTTTTAGGCCACAAGACCCGTTCACACCATCCATGTGAAAAAACAACAGTAATTTAAAGTAAATACTATAGTGTATTTTAACCATACTATAGTAAAGTGCTTGGATTAATCTGTTGTGGTAATTCTATAGTTACAATGGTAACCCAACAGCTTTAGGAATATAAACAAATATTAAAACTAAATTATTCTGCAATATACCATGACTTACTGTAAATGTAAACTAAACTGTACAGTATTTAATACAGTTTACTATAGTTTACACTACAGTATGGTGTAGCATTCATTTACAAAGTTTTATAAATACTATAATATATACAGTATAGATCTCCAGGAACGTGAGATTGACAGGCAGAGTGGTGCAGCAGTAATGCTGTCGATATACCAGTCTGTTGTGGTAAAGAAGGAGCTGAGCCAGAAGGCAAAGCTCTCTATTTACCATTGAATGTACGTTCCTACTCTCACCTATGGTCATGAGCTTTGGGTCATGACCAAAAGGACAAGATCTTAGATACAATCGGTCGAAATGAGTTTCCTTCGCAGGGTGCAACCTTACAGATAGGGTGAGGAGCTCTGTCACCTGGGGGGAGCTCAGAGGAGAGCTGCTGCTCCTCCACATTGAGAGAAGTCAGCTAAGGTGGCTCGGGCATCTGTTTCGGATGCCTCCTCGAGGTGTTAAAGGCATGTCTCACCCGGAGGAGGCCTGCTGGAAGACCCAGGACACGCTGAAGGGACTATGTCTCTCGGCTGGCCTGAGAACACCTCTGGATCCCCCTGGCCCCAGCGATGCGGCCTTAGAAAAGAGGACAAAAATGAGATGAGATGAGATGAGATGAGATATACAGTACAATTCAGTTGACTATAGTGTGTTTCAAAAACACTATTTACAGGGCCGGAGCAAGCTGAACTGCCGCTCTAGGCAAAGGACGGTTATGCCGCCCTCAATCCTAAAGTGAAAGCGAGGGGGGGTGTCGAGGGAGCTGTCGCGGACACCACCGCCCTCTCTATTTTGCCGCCCTAGACGCGGATATAACTGAGGGCGCGGGTGGTGAGGGTAGTGTCGCAGACGCCACCCTAGACGCAGATATAACTGAGGGCGCAGATGGTGAGGGTAGTGTCGCAGACGCCACCCTAGACGTGGATATAACTGAGGGCGCGGGTGGTGAGGGTATTGTCGCAGACGCCGCCCTAGACACGGATATAACTGAGGGCGCGGGTGGTGAGGGTAGTGTCGCAGATGCCCTCCTAGACGCAGATATAACTGAGGGCGCGGGTGGTGAGGGTATTGTCGCAGATGCCGTCCTAGACGTGGATATAACTGAGGGCGGGAGAGGTGAGGGTTGTGTCGGCGACGCCGCCCTCTGTATTCTGCCACCCTAGGCGGCCGCCTAGGTCGCCCCTATGGAAGCGCCGGCCCTGACTATTTACTATAAATTACTGTATTCATTTTTATGTAAGCAAGGACAGTAACTGTAACTATATTAACGATAAACAATGTATCTAAATATAAAAGACACAAGTCCACATCACACCTACAAGCACAGATGCACAATATCGTTTTAATCACTTTTAGTTTAACAATATTTTTAAAGCAACCTAAGAATAAAAAAATAAACAGCCAATCACAAATCATCCTATTTTAAAGAGCATTGTAAACAACATGTGCTTGTGATAAACAGTGCATCATCATCCAATCATGTTAATATATTCATTCATTCATTTTCCTTCATCTTAGTTAATGAACTGCCATCTTATCCAGCATATGTTTTACACAGCGGGTGCCCTCCAGCCGCAACCCAGTACTGGGAAACATCTATACACACTCATTCACACACATACACTACGGACAATTTAGTTTATTCAATTCACCTACAGCACATGTCTTCAAACTGTGGGGAAAACCAGAGCACTCGGAGGAAACCCACACGAACACGGGGCAAACATGCAAACTCCACACAGAAATGCCAACTGACCCAGCCGGGACTCAAACCAGCAACCTTCTTGCTGTGAGGCGACAGTGCTAACCACTGAGCCACTGTGTCACCCGATGTTAATATAGTTATCATTTATTATTGGTGTGAACAGGTGTATATACTGTAGGTATGAGTTCTGTCCAGATAAACAGACACTGTGCTGATAAAGTTTGAGACTGTGTTTTCCATCTAACATTATCTTATAGCTCTGATGTGATATTTAGCTGGTGCTTCTAATTCAAAGACACAATACAAAGTGTAATGACTTTGATAATTGTGAAAAATGAACTTATAATCTGTTTTATTGCATGTAAACATGCAAGATTGTGGTAAAACCAAGCATGTGCAATTCTAGCTTGTAATGTTTTGCACAGGAAACCTGGCAAATCATGCAATTAAATCAGTGTTTTATGAAAATATATGTTTAAAAGTTTTTATTAATTTGAGAAGTGTTAGTTAAAAGCATAGTTCACCCAAAAATGAACATTTTGTCATATCACTTCATGACATTTTGTAAAGTGTTGGTAACCAAACAGTTTATCGTTGACTTAGTATGAACATCAAGATTTTGGTTAACAAAATATTTTCAAAATTTCTTTGTGTTCACAAGAAAACAAAACAACAACTTGTGAACTAAATGAGGACCTGGTTATTTTTTTCTTTCTTTAATTAAGAAAATCAAGAGATATCCGATAGACTATAAACCATTTTGTTAGGGAAAAATGTTTTATGTTGTGATGTAAGTGGATATTAAAGGTCACCCAGGCTTTTAATATTCTCTTCAGGACATTGACCATTGAAATGCGACTGTCTCATCATTTTTACAGTTTGTTCTGTTGTTCTTTTACGTTCATGGAGAATTACTAAGGGAAGTACTGTATTTTAGCCTTCATTAAGCATTTGTATGACCTCAAGCTAATACAATAAAATTAAAGTAATTACATAAATAAATCACTGGCTTATGGTGTGGATTTATATTTAATTATTCAGTTATTTATTTTTTATAATGATGATTAATCATTTAGTTAATTAGTTAACTTTATTTGTCCCCATAGGGAAATCTCACTTGCAGCATCTCACAGAGACATCTGACATTTCACATTTGGCATTTATATTAATAAATCATTTAAAAATCCTACATACCATGGTACCTCTACCCTAAATAAATATCCAATCTGCTGGACATCAACTGCTACTGAGAGAGGAGGAATTTAAAATCTTAATTGCTTGAGATATCAATGATAATTTTGTCCTATTTCTGACACGTCTGGAAACACAATATCGACGACCTGATGGTAACAATTTTTAGGGTGTATGATAAAGAATGTCTCTTATCATTGACAATCATGATATCCTTATTTAATACTCTTTCTAGGTATATACTATTAATGCTCTTTAGTTTTATTCCCAACATCTTACTGGTTACCATGTTTCCCATGCAGTGACCTCTTCTGGGCCTCAGAAGCATTTCCATACCAACAAAATATTGCAATACTGTTGATAAAAGCATTATAACACACAGGTTGTTATCAACATTAAAAGACAATACACTGTAAAAATGCAGGAGTCCACACAATTCATTAATGTTGTTGATTAAGTAAACACTTTTAACAAATTTATGTGGATTGAACATAAAAATATAAGTTGTCCCAATGAAATCTCAAGAATTGTGTTGTTTCAGCTCATTTAAACTAAGTAGTTTTTTGTGTGTGTGGTTTTTTTAAGAAGTGTTGAAGGTTTTTCCTTACACAGTCAGTCTATACATTTCACTAAAGTTTATTGTCCAACATTACAACCAAAGATTAAGTGGTAATTGGAAAGTTAAGAATATAGTTTTAATATAGGCCTAGTTTACAGTTTATGTAAATCTTATTTGTGAATACATTTTTTTTAAGATTAAAGGTGTTACCTTTTGAACTAACATGAACATTTTGAATAATTAACAAAGGTTAAATTCAGGGGAAAAATACAGATTGTCGTTAGGTGATGTAAAGCAACTTTTGTAAACAACAAACGAAATCCCTTAATATAATAGCCTACTGTATGTGGTTAAATTAGTATACTAAATAGTGTTCTTTGATTGTAAACTGAACTCTCAGATTCAGTAGAGTTCAGCTCAGAAATTGTCTACTACGGAAAAAAGTACACTTAAAGAGCACCTATGTTGACACTTTTTCGAGATTTAAAATAAATAATTTATCTTAGAATGTGTCTGTACAGTTTCAGCTCAAAAGATTATTTATTATACCTTTTTAAATATCGCAGATTTGAGCTGTTATTATAGTGTTACACGTAGCTGGTTTTACCTGCCTGTGCATTTTCATCATATGTGCCCTTTAAATATATCACACTGTCGTCCTCTAATGGCCGATGTGGGGAAACTGCAGTCTCTGGTTGCTGACAGTTCTCGCGAGACTTGCTCAAATGTGATCGCGCGCTAACTGAGTGAGTTCAGCAGTTCTGAGGTAAACAGAGAAACTGCAATTTCGCTTTATTTAATTCGCTTCATACTCGACTTTGGTTCTATGGACTTGTTGGATATGTTAGACCAAACGGACTGTCGACATTTCAAGACTGAGTAAGAAAAATACGTTAGAATTTTGTTCTAATAACAACTTACTTATTCAATTGCTTCTCGTCAACGTGACCGTGAAGATGCCAAACAGATATGAAATGTTTGGGTTAACGTTAGATAATGTTAACATTAGTATTTCTAAACTGATTACGTTTCTTATTAACAGGTTAGCGTCACACTTAAAATAATTACCTCAGTCAAGTTTTTTGTAGTTAAGTGAGTACTGACGACGACCTCGGTTCACTGTATGTAACTCACAGTAAAAGATTGAGGTAAAGTTGGTTAAAAGTTTATATTTTCATAAAAGTATTATTTCAACATTTTTTGTTAGTAAATCACATTAGCAACATCGTTCACAGTCAGTTAAATAATGTTTTGAAGTCATAATTACATGAGGGTTCGCACCAAATATTCAAAGTACGTTGGCATAGTAAACCATATAACGTTAAGTTAGGGATCGTTACAATGAGTGAATGTGCGAATATAAAACCAACTTAACGTTAAGTTACCTCAATCAGTAAAAGAGCCTTCCCAAATAAAGAATTAATTATTATCTTTTTCTTTGTAACTTACATGGTTTATTTTATAATTTTGGCTGTGTTCAGGCAGAATGTATTATTGATGTAAAGGTGGTTGTATATTTGCACATTTGGACTTTCTCCTTTATAATATAATTTTAGAAAAGTTTTCTTTGGAAAAATTAAAGTACACTATTAAACCCAACTGTCAACTTTATCAAATAAAAAGAGTGTAACGTTCGTTAACTTAAAATTTACTGAAAGGTAAATCTACTCGTTTGAAAGGAGTTTTAAACTCAGTGTTGAAGGTAAAGAGTTACTTGAATACCTCTTTACTTTAATGGAGTAAGTACTCAGTTGGAGTTCTCTTCATTTACCAGGCTTTATTGTGCTCGTATTTCTTCATTTACTCAAATGGATTAGGTTCACAGTACTCATTATGATTAATTTTTGAACTCCAATTGTTTGTTGCAATCGATTTTCTCAAATGGTTTGAGCTACCTTAACTATTTGGGTTTTACAGTTTACTGAAATCATATTAGCAGCCAATGACTATCAAATTACAACATTGTTCACAGTCAAATAAATAGTGCTAATATTGTTTTGAAGTCATGTGATTTCAAGCTGAATATTCAAAGTACCATGGTAAACAATATAGGGAGCATGTAACAAGTTGTCACTGAACGAATATGCGAATATAAAACCAACTTTACCTTAATGACTATATTTTACTTTTTTGATCACTGTTATTTGTTTCTTTCATAAATCTATGGTAGGACTGGGCTTATAAACGATATATCGCATCGCGATACAATTTATGTCTATAACAATGAAAGGCTCTGCACTTTGCTACTCTATATTGATATAAGAGCCAGTCACGTAGCAGAAATGTGCATCAATGCAATGATATTAAGAATGTATCGAATTTTCAGCAACTGAAAATTTATGGGCTGAAAATATGTTATGTCATTTAATGAACACTAATTTTTGTGGCTTCAGTCATTGTTGGGGTACTCTTAAATCTGGAAAC